GGGTCAAGTGGTGTTTCCATTCCAAGTTTTCTTAGGAATTTCCATATTGTTTTCCAGAGTGGTGCATGAGTTTGCAGTCCCAACCATGTATGAGTGTACACTTTCCCCATATCCTTGCAACATTTATTGTAAAACTTATATTCTTGATAATTGCTATTCAAAATGGCGTTTTTTTTAATCATCTGCTTTCCATAGTGGTTGTACTAATTTGCAGTCCCACCAGCAATGTATGAGTGTACCTCCCCCCCCCCCCACATCCTTGACAGCATTCATTGTTTTATATTATTGATTGTCATTCTGATGAGACTGTGTCTCTTTCAAGAATCTGAGAGAGGGCTGGAGATGTGGCTCAAGCGGTAGTGCACTTGCCTGGCATGTGTGCGGCCCGGGTTCGATCCTCAGCACCACATACAAACAAAGATGTTGTGTCTGCCGAAAACTAAAAAATAAATATTAAAAAAAAAAAAATTATCTCTTTCTCTCTCTCTCTCTCTCTCTCTCTCTCTCTTTAAAAAAAAAAAAAAAAGAATCTGAGAGAAAGCCAGTAAGACTAAAAAGCAATGATTTGAATGCAGGATTAAAGACTTACTCTACCCAGTGCACAGTGCATCCCAGTGCCTCAGGGCGCTAAGGCAGGAGGATCTTGAGTTCAGAGTCAGCCTTAGCAAAAGCTAGGCGCTAAGCAATTCAGTGAGACCCTGTCTCTAAATAAAATAGGGCTGGGGATGTGACTAAGTGGTTGAGTACCCCTGAGTTCAATCCCCAGTACCCCCACCCCCCCAAAAAATTGCTCTAACTTCTATATAGAAAACAAATTGAGGGTTTGCTAGCTAATACTGCATACTAGGGAAGAAATGAGAGCTTACACTAGGCAACATGTCTATGTTGGCAATAGAAATGGAAAGAAAATAACAGATTGTCTATTTATGTAGAAAATAAGTTCACCACAACCTGATGACATACTTAATATGAGAGGGTGAGGAAGAAGGAGGAGGTGTCAAGGATGTCTTTATCTTACAAAAATAGAAAGACAGGATCATGCCATTTACTGAGATAGAGAAGCCTAAAAGAGGATCAGATTTTTTAAGGGGAATTTGTTTATGGACATGTTGAGTTTGAGGTACCCTTGAGTCATTGGATTGGAACTATCAGGTAGAACCTAGAGTTTAAAAGGGAGATCTAGACTCAAAATGTAATTTGCCGGGGTGGGGTGGGGGGCTGCTGGGGTTGAACCAGGTCCTTGTGCATGTGAGGCAAGCACTCTACCAACTGAGCTATATCCCCAGCCCTAGAAATGTATAAATTTATGAATCATACCATTTCAACTGTCAACAAGGCCATAGTGTTAGGTGAAGACCATGACAGGATTAAAAAAGGATGCACATAGGATCTTATTCAACACCCTCTACCCCCTCAAGATAGAGGCAGATAGCTAATGGATTCTCTTGAAAGTACTTTTTCCTTACACTAAATAATAAATGTTCAAAATATTAGTCCTTATTAACTTTGAGAAAAGTTGATGCTGGATCACCACTGTTGTCAAAGTATGTGAGGGCTGATGGTATAGTTCAGTGATGGAACACTTGCCTAGTATGTTTGAGGTACTGGGTTCAAACCCCAGAACTACCAAGAAAAAGAGAATTCAAAGCATGCTGGGATTTTGTTTGTATTTTGTTTTTGCAAGGGAGCATATCTAATACTATCATTTGAAAACATGGGCATCAATGCAGGCACCGTTGCTATCACTGTGAACATCATTTGAAAAGTATGTTTTTATACCTTTTATCATCAGCTCTATACTTAGGCCCTGGAGTATATTCTATTCAAAATTTTTAGTTTTCATTTGTTTTTAGCTGGCAATGACAGTAGCCAAGGAAATGAAGTAGGAACAAATCATAGTTATTGGCATTGGGAATCCGTAAGACAATTTTCAGGCTTGATGATAAGACTCAAAAATCAGCATGTAATCCTACTCACAGCTTTATAGCAAAAGAATACAAAGCAAAATCAGTAAAGGGGAAAGGTGCATAGGGCAAAGTTCGGAAGAAATAAAGCATCAGCTTCCAAAAGTCCTTTCCTTGTGGAGTTATACAGAAAACTTAATTCCTCCAACATGTGGAAACATGTGTGAAGGGTTATCGTCTAGGGAAGCTTATTGGTGATTCATACCCAAGGGATTAAAATAGACACTTACTTGCCTAGCATATACCATATTCCAGAATCAGAAGGAAATCAGGTTTTTGGCAAAAATCGTAGTTTACATAAAGAGTTTGGGCACAGTGAACCATCAGTTATGGAATGGGAAGAATCATCCCCCAATCCAAATCTTTATTTTTTGAGCTAATGGGGATTGACAAGAGCATCCCACCACCACCACCTCCCCCTCTTTTTATTTAAACTAAGGATTGAACTCAGAGGCCCTGAGCCACATCTCTAGCCCTTTCTTGTGTTTTATTTAGAGACAGGATATCACTGAGTTGCTTAGCACCTAGCTTTTGCTAAGGCTGGCTTTGAACTTGTGATCCTCAAATATCTCAGCCTCCCAAGCCAGTGGGATTGTAGGTGTGTGCTGTGCCACCGCACCTATATATGTATGTATGTATGTATGTGTATATATATAAAATTTTTTTTTCCATTTTGAGATACGGTCTCATTTAATTTGCCCAGGCCGGACTCAAACTTGGGATTCTTCACCTCAGCCTCCTTGGTAGCTAAGGTTACAGGTCTTTACCTCCACACCTGGTTTCAGTATATTTTTTCAAAGTAATGTAAATGAACAAAATCCAAATCCTTTAACTAATAAAGTGGGAGAGTTGGTCTTAGATGATTTATAAAACTCCCATTTAAAAGTTTTACTTTGGACTGGGTTGTGGCTTAGTGGCAAAGTGCTTGCCTACCATGTGTGAGTCACTGGGTTCCATTCTCAGCACTAAATATAAATAAATAAAATAAAGATCCATCAATGACTAAATATATATATATATTTAAAAATTTTACTTTTCCTCTAGTCCAGTGCAAAAGTCAGTTGTTAAATGCTCTGCACTAAGGCAGAGCTGTAATAATACTTATTGACTGAACTTATGTATTTGGCCCAATGCCTAGGATAACACTTAATTCCCATTTAACCAGGGGTAACAGTGTACACCTATAATCCCAGTGACTCAGGAGGCTGAGGCAGGAGAATTGCAAGTGTAAGGTCAACCTTAGTATTTTAGCAAGACCCTGTCTCACAATGAAATAGTAATGACAGGAAATGTAGCTCAGTGGTAAAGCAATTCTGGATTGAATACCCAGTATCGAAGCAAAACAAAACATCACACCGTTGGATTCTTATAGTGACCCTAGTATTTTAAAGATGGAGAGACTGAAGCTCAAAGACATTAAATAACATATATAGCACATAGGTGACAGAATAGAGACATTCTGTTTGACTCTACACTATGGAATTTTTCTGCATTGAAGATTTGGCTAGTCTTCAAGGTGATTAAGAACAGGGTGCCCATACCATATTTATGATTTAATATCTAAAGATGAAATAGGAAATGGGAAGACAAAGATATACTTGCTTGGGGAAAATGTCCATGAAATCCTGGAATACTGGAAATAATCATGAGATTTAAATAATCATGACACACATTCCTTGAGCAACATTCACTGAGGTACATCCTTAGCCCATGCCCTTGCTTACAAAAGTAACAATGCAGCTGGGTGTGGTAGTGCAAGCCAGTAATCCCATTGACTCAGGAGGCTGAGGAAGGAGGATTGCAAGCTTGAGGCCAGCCTGGGCAGTTTAGGAAGACTGTCTGGAAAAAAAAATCAGGCTTCCGGATGTAGCCGAGTAGTAAAACACCCCTGGGTAATGCGCGCGTGCACACACACACACACACACAGAGTAAAATGATGCAGGCAACATATGTGCAAGGAAAACTGATGGGAAATTACGTAAATCCTTACTGATTCAACCTCTAATCCAGTCCCTAGCACCTGACCCTCTGTAAATATTAACATACTACATCAAAGAACTGCTGTTTTCCTTCTGGAGGTGGCCCACACTTTTTCCTTGAATGTGTGTTCCTTGATTTACTCCGAAAACTTTTCACTCAAGATGGCTTGTATTCTCCTTTGTTTAAATGGCCAGCATTCTCCCTTGAATGCCTGTTACCTTATCCAAAAGACATCTCTCTCTTGAGAGCCCACATTCTCCTCTGAATGTTTACCTACTTTCCTAAATATGTGCCTCTGCCTTGTGCCTACTGAAATTCTTTTCAGTCACTTATAACAAGGACCTCACTTGCCCTGAGTTGAGGTCCCCCTTTCTAGGAACTCCTCCAGTCTGACAAAGGATCACACTTTTTGATTGTGTAGACTGCACAGTGAAATTTGCAGATTTTATTGCAACAATACCCAGTCTTTCAAACAGTAGATGCATTTTAAGGTTATTTTATCTGTGGAAAGAAAAGAAAAAAGTAATTCTGGGATGGCCAGTTTTAACACAAATATTGTTAATACTGTGACCACAACTCTGTTGCAGCGTACAGAATGTGACTTAACTGAGTACAGTTCCACTGCTTGATCACATGGCAGGTCTATTTATATTATCTATTGGTATATCAGAAATGAATATATCTTGATATATTGGACTTCATGGAAAAATAACTTCTATTAATTTTATGCTAGTTTTTCAGTAAGACTTTCCTTTAAAACTACGTCTGAGGGCTGGGGTTGTGACTCAGCGGTAGAGTGCTTGCCTAGCACGTGTGAGGCCCTGAGTTTGATCCTCAGCACCACATAAAAATAAAATAGTTATTGTGTCCAACTACAACTAAAAAAAATCAACTAGGTCTGATATCTAAACATGAATTTTTTGTTATGCTTTATTGTAGAAGCTAAAGTTAAGGCAGAGCTGGGTGCCCCCCTTCTCCCAAACCAAACAAAAACAAAGAAAACAGAACTGTAATAAAATAAGGTTTTTAATCTTTAATTCTTTTTTTAATATTTAGGAACAAGTTCCAGTTCCAGTTTATCATCCAACACCTAGCCAGACTCGGCTAGCAACTCAGCTGACTGAAGAGGAACAAATTAGGATAGCTCAAAGAATAGGCCTTATACAGCATCTGCCTAAAGGAGTTTATGACCCTGGAAGAGATGGATCCGAAAAAAAGATCCGGGAGTAAGTTTTAATTAATAAACACATTTCAGAGGTCTGTTTTCTGAGATTAACTTTTTGAAAATTTGCTTTTTCTCATGTACTTTGGAAGTCTGTGATATTTATGATTTTAGAACACCTCAGTTAATGCAATAAGATGTTCAGAGTAACAATAAGGAAGAATTTTGTAAAAAACAAAAAGCTAAGAAATCATGTGTGGATTCAGACCATTATATGCTGCTTGTCTATTTGAATGACTTTGGTAGTTAATTCACCTATATGAAAGTGAACATTGCTGGTGGCCTCTCAACAGGTTTTTGGAAAGTAGTTTGGCAGTATTTCAGGGACTGATAACCTCTGAGAAAGAGTTATGTACAATATTCCAGGAATCTGTCCCAAAATGTATACTTCACTCCCCCCATGCCAGAGCTTTATGCACTAAATATTCACTGCAGTCTTATTAGCTGCCTAATTGTTCAAGAGTAGAGGTATATTTAAGTAAATTATAATACAGGAATACATCAATAACATGAAGTCATTAAAATTGTTAAGGCTTTATAGTGATATGAGAGAAATTTATTTCTTGTGAAATAATTCATTATGCTTAATGAGTTGTAGGTAAAATTTTGCTTATTGAGAATTTTTGTCCCCAGGGCTCATCATTGATATCTGAGAATCTTTAATGAGGACATTCATTTTCCTTTTAAATTGAGATAGGCTTCACTAACACAGACATAATCTAATTTACTGTGTTAGTTAATGTTAGGCTGTTTTAGCTGTAGCAACATTTAGTTCTAGTACTTACAATATAGTCTGTGTAGATATTGACTTCTAAAACACTGTAGAATTGGTTTGCTTTCTTGAACCTCAGAAAAGTGTAGTGAACTCGAAACTGGGTTAATGAAGATAGGTTTAAAACAGCAGCCCAGTAGGTAGGATTAAATCAGTGGTTATGTTTTCATATGTAGTTATTAAAATGCAAATTTTAATAAAATTACTCCAGCATTCTACTAAAAACTCAGTACAAGGAAAGTTGATCTAACTGATGCTTTCCTTCATAAAGTGCCACATTCTTCATAGATGTATCCTGTAATATGTAGCTGTTTACAAACACATCAGTGAACCTGATTCTGAGGTCCATTTCTCTTTGCTCTGCTGATTGTGATGAAGGCCCAGCAAATTCCCAGGAAATTAAAATAAGATAATGTGAATGTGTCAGCATTTATCAACATTGAATACATCACTATGGATGTATTCAGTTTGCATGCTTTGGTAATGAGGTGACAGGCAAACCATTCTGATGTGTTGTTTGTATTAACGTTGTCTTTGTTATGGGATTTTAAAGAGTGTTCTGAGTAGGCCACTCACCTAAAAATACTTTACTCTCACATCCACAGGTGTGTGATCTGTATGATGGACTTTGTTTATGGGGACCCAATTCGATTTCTGCCGTGCATGCACATCTATCACCTGGACTGTATAGATGACTGGTTGATGAGATCCTTCACGTGCCCCTCCTGCATGGAGCCAGTTGATGCAGCACTGCTCTCATCCTATGAGACTAATTGAGCCAGGGTCTCTCGTCTGACTTCAAGTGAACCATCATTTTTGGTGGTTTTGATCTTTCGTCACTGAGCCCAAAGAGCCAGGGATTAGGAATTAAGATCATGCACAAAAAGTTTCCTAAAAATTCCTGGATGGCTGCAGATGTTGAGGAAAGTATGTGATATTTTAGAAACTTAGGGGGGGAAAGTAGGATGGTATTTTTATGTAAAGCCTTGACCCAGTGTTTAAGAATATAATTGTATTTAGACCTTGTTATTGCTCCAGTACATAGGAATTGTGTAAAGTGTTAAAGCAACTGTATATGTTTAAATTGTGTGTGTTGAAGATTAGGAAAAAAGATAGTGGTTATTTTTCCTAAATGAAATAACATTCTTCTCTCCACCAAATTTTTTTCTGAAGTTAATGGCATTTGGGTCAAGGTTTTATTAAAAGCTACATTTTATAACACTGGCACAAAAAAAGTAGTTTTAAGCTTGTTTGCACAGTTCTTTTTTTCCATTGGAAATGGAATTCATTGCCTTAGGTCTTTTTAAATAGTGTATTATCGTTGGGGCTGGCTCTATGCTTGAAAACCAGTTTATTTATAACCTGTTGTAAGTGCTATATTCTGTTTGCAGTTAGGAAATGCAGAATTTTAAGTGATCTCCTAGCTTGTAAGCAAACTGAGATGCACTATCCCTTTTCTATATAAAAATGAGTTAATGTGTCAATAAATCAACTCAGCAAGGTGGGTTTAATATTACCCTTTCCTATGTGTTTTATCTAATTCTTTTGGTTGTTAATATGGTGATAAATGAAAGTCAAGGTAAATTTTAAATATTAAGATTTCCGATTTATTGAGCTTGAATTATGCCACCATGCTTATGTAAAAATGAAGGTGGCACCATGGTAAAACTTAATGAGAAGTAGTTTCTCAGTTGTAATAATTTTGATTTCTCTTTCTTGTGATCTCTCCTTCCCTGTTGTCTTGAACCATAGCAAAAGGATACTGCATCTCTCATTACTATAGTGATGAGGTTATTGAAATTATATAAACACATCTCAGTCTCTGTTTCTTTGAAAGGTATCTGTTAAGTCCTGCTAGGTGATTGACGAGACTAAGTAGGGAGAATAAAGGTAAATGTGATTCATGTTTTGCACACAAATGCAGAATTTTATAACCACATGACTTCATAGTTGTGATCTCAAAAGGAATTTCTCCTTTAATTTTTCTTGCAGTTAATGTAAGAATACTCTAAATCTCTAAGCTTCTGAAGTATTAGAGGTAGAGATGATCTAGTAAAGATGTAGTTTATCCATTTAGCATGTGTTTATTTTTCCTTATGTACTCAAGGTGATTTATTTGTTCAGCTCAGTGATATTACAGCTAAAAAACATTCATTAGCAAAAGGAGAAGCAGTCTACATCTAACAGAGGAATCAGAAATGTTTCTTATTTTTGTTGAGTTGAATGTTTGACTTTTCTACATACAAAACAAGTTCCTTAAAGATTCTTCATAATTGTATTATAGAAGAATTTAGTATGTCATAAATACTTAATTTGACATTCATCTGTAGTAGCCATATGTTGTTTGATTTCCTTATGAGCACCATGATGGAAACACTCAAATGAATTTGAGAAAAATTGGAAGAAATTAGATTATCGGGTTCTGTTAAATTGTTAATGTATCTTGCTTAAATTTTTGTTCATTAATTTATATCCATCTGATTATATAAAGTAAATTTGGAGGAAACAGCTGAAGTTGTGCAATATTTTCAGTGATAATTACTTTTTGTTCTTGTGTTTTCTACTTAAAACATGATGTATATGTTATCCAGTATTATAGTCAGACCTTCTTTTCTAGATTGTCAGAATTGCTAAATGAACTTTTTTTTTAAATCAGTTTCCATTTTGATTTTAGTCTTTCTTTATTATAAGGCTTCTTTCACAGAAGTTTGGTAATATTGAAGGCACCGGTATTGAACAGAATGATTTTTGGGGCACTTTGTATTCTTTGACTTTGTTCTCCACATACCATGTTAAAATCCATCAATTTTGGCTTTTACTGAGTTGTTAAATAAAGTTATAATACAGCTGTGAAGGGCTACAGTTAGAGTTGATTACTGAGAATATCTCCCAAGATATCCCCCCCCCAAAAAAGGGGGGGTCATGTATAAATTTTAAATTTGATCACTAAAATGTTTAGGTATATATACCTTTGAGAAATATTTTTATTGTTTGGCATTTAATATCATTTAATCATATACTTTGAAACAGTATAGCATTAAAACACTATAGCATTAAAGCTTCTAAAGCCCAATAGGGGAATTTATTTAGATGTGGGATTTGAGCCAGGTATGGTGGTGCATACCTTAATCCCAGTGATTTAGGAGGCTGAGGCACACAGATGGCAAGTTTAAGGCCAGCCACAGCAACTTAGACCCTGTCTGAGAATTTTAAAAAGGTCTGGGGATATAGCTCAGTGGTGAAGTGTCTGCCCCTTGTGTCTTGGCTGCCCCTGCCAAGTCATTTTGAAATGGTATGAAAAGCATAACCAGGAAAAAAAACATTAACCTTATCCTTTTAAATGCAAAAAACAACATGTTACAATACTTCAATTAGGAAATGCAGAATTGGGAGGGAATTTTTCATTAAATTTGTCTCTTGAGAAAATTTACTATTTTTTTACTGGGAGGTTGCTATTTTGGGGTACTTTCCACAGAAGGTTTTGTTTTCTTAGTATGAATGAGGGAGAGCATATTATGCATCTAAAATGCCTAATGTGATCAGTAGAGTAGCAGCACTGTATGCTTTTGAACCCTTTTAAAACCAAGCTTATAGGCTCCAGATTTCCTGGCATTGAGGAAAGTAAGTTAAATTTGCATTAACTAAGGACTTACCCTAAAAATCTGGGCATAGTAATGGATTCTTGTGAGAAGATTTGGTTGGCCATGCCAAAATAAATCAATAAAAAGCCTACCATATAGTAGTTGATGCAGTCAGTTAGGACTCAAAAGCATTATGTGAACTGGGAACCCTAGTCTATGCTGTCAGAAAGACATTGAGATTGGTTTTCAGTACTGAGTGCAGGAGCAGGCTACATTCTGCTGATTCCAGGAGTAGAGCTAATCCTTCAGTTTTGAAGCAGTGCCAAATAATGATCTTCTATCCATGAGTGTGGCTAAACTCAGTAAACAGATTATAAACTACAGTATTACAGTGCAGCATTTGGTCCTTATGACCTTTGTCATACTGATTATCTGTAATGACATGAAGGAAAATAATTCATAGGTCTTTCTGGTTGTGAGATAGGTGCTATTCTAGCAAGTCATTTTCAGATGGGCTGTTATTGCCAGTCCTACTCTTATAACTCTCTTAAACCTTGAATTAATGACTTTGAATATGCTGTTGAAATAAGAAATGATGTTCATGGCTATGGCTTTTGATCAATTGGTCTTCTGATTTCCTGGGAAGAGCTAAGAATATGAAATACCAACTCATGTAAGTGATGATCACTTAGCCTGTTGAAAGCATTCCCTTTTTTCCCCTCCTAATTCCAGTAACAGGTGAAGGGAAGATAAGGTATTTTTGTTAGCAATTTAGAAAAGTCAGAAATAATTGGTTCTAAAGGTTTAATCCATGTTTAACCTTATAAAAGCACATGGGAAGTAAAATAACTTTAATAGATTAGAAGATGTCATTCCTCAGTTTAAAATTTTAATAGTTTCCTGTTTTAAGTAAACTCAACTCCTTAACTGGGATGAGTTGGCTTTCTGCATCTCTTTATTTCATAGGACTCTACCACTAGTTTCATGGATCATCTTTTAGTGTCTTCTAAAAATGCCATGCTCTTACCTGTTTCATCTTTTTGCAGTATAGTTTCTGCTCTGTAGCTCCTCTCAACATTGTTCAGATTGCTGGCTTCTTAGCCCTTGGAGCCAAATATATTCCATTATTTTACTCCATGGCTTAATTCTTTAAGTACCTATATGTCTTCCCTATCAGAATAAGCTCCACAAAAGCAAGATAGTGGGTTGGGATTGTGGCTCAGTGGCAGAATGCTTGCCTCGCACATATGAGGCACTGGGTTCAAGTCTCAGCGCCACATAAAAATAAATTAAAGGTATTGTCCATCTACAACTAAATTTTTTTTTTAAAAAGCAGGATGGTATGTTGTCACATGGTTTTTATTAAACTAGGGGAAAGAAAATGGGGAAAAGAGAGGTCCTAAGCAATCAGAGCATTTCTAATGGAGTGGGACCTACCATCCCAACAATGTTCTCATTGGAAAATAGCAAATTCTTGAAGAGTTTTGATGTGGCAAGGAGAATGTCAAAGACAATTCTCTTTAAGCAGGCAGCTTTCTGATAGGCCCCATCTCTTACCAATACCTCAAACTGTACCCACCTGGCCTCATCCTCCTCTTTACTTGGGAATGTGGCAGATCATAGTTCCTGTATATCAATTAATGAAAAAAGGGACATTTTAAATTTTATGTAAGAATGGATTTTAATGTTTTTGTTTAGTATCCCGTGTTTAGAAGTAACTTCCACTGAACATATAACCAAGATAGGACTCCCTTTCATTCTCAGGAACTTGAGTGTATTCATTTGGAGGATTTGTTAAAACTCAGATTACTGGGTCTTAACCCTACAGATCAGAGGCCTGTTGGGGTCAGAGAATTTCTTCTTTTTTTTTTTTTTTGTACTGGTGATGGAACCCAGAGGTGCTTAACCACTGAGCCACATCCAGCCATTTTTATATTTTATTTAAAGATAGGGTCTCATTGAGTTGCTTAGGGCCTCACTAAATTGCTGAGGCTGGCCTTGAACTCATGATCTTCCTGCCTCAGCCTCCTGAGCCACTGGTATTACAATTGTGCACCTCTACCCAGCTTGAGAATTTATTTCTAACAAGACCCCATATAATGTTAATACTGCTGAGTTAAGAGCTACTTGCCCAAAAGGTGGACATTTGAGCCAGGCCACACTAATTATCCTTATCTGGCATTTTTTATGCAAGAGTTAGGAAAATTGCCACCCAAAGAAACCAAGAGAATAAGCCTAATACAGAAGCAAAGACAAGAGACGGAAAAACCTTAATGGGAGCACTATAGCCCCTAATTTGGTCACCCCACAGGTCAGACCCACCATAGCATGTGTAGACCAGTATACTTAAATGCTTATCAGGAGCCTTATTATGCTAGATTTATATACATGAACTTTATCTAATGCAACCTTATGAAGCAGTTGACATTAAAGCCCTATTTTATGTAAAAATAAACTGATTCTCCATGGGGTAAAGAAGTTCAAGTAAGTTTAAATACAGTCGGCTTTTATCCACTGCTCCATAGTCTAAAGGTTGAGTATTTCTAGTAAGCCAACCTTTCTCATTGTGTGGGTCTGCTTACCACCTTTTCCAGAGATAACTGCAGTAAATCAACTCTAGCCCAGGAGTGACAGAATTCTGGTTCACAGGGCTAGGGTGTTGCTCAGTATGTACAGCATTTGCCTAGCATGAATGAGGCCCTGGTTTAAATTCTCAGCACTGAAAAGAAGGAAAATAAAAATATGGCCCATGAATCACTTGGCCCACAGATACGATGGTTTTGACCAGCCAAGCACTCATAAGTGTTTAAAAGTTACTGATTAGCTTTGTACATATCCCACTGTCTTGATGTTCCAACTTCTAGTCTGATAGCAGTCCTCTTCTACAATATAGTTTGCTCCCCCCTTAAGCCTCAGTTCAGGCCTCTGAGACTGCATCTTTGCAGGCTTCATTTACCATCTCTGGAATTATTGACTGAACTCTACCTACCAAGTGGGAATTAGATCATGCCCTTTTCTCTATCATCCCTCAGTGATTTTATGAGTACATATTACTTTTTTGTTTCTTCCTTTTGTTTTTGTTCTGATTATTCACATTCCTACCTCAAAATGCCAAATAGCCTAGGGGAACCAGGTGACACAAACATATTCCATATGTTCCAACCAAGGATTTCCAGTGGTTATTAGCCAGTACCTCCTCCATCTTTGGCATAAGCCCAAGATTCAATGTACATTGGGGAGACCAGCTGTGAAGTGAATTTTACAACTTGACCAGTAATTTAGCAAAGTATGGGCTCTTGAGTTCAGCTACCTGAATTTGAATCTTCTCTGCTACATGATCTTAGGTAAGTTGTGTCTCGGTTTTCTCATTCTATAAAATGGCAACAGTAGTCCCTGCTTGATAAGGTAGTTACATAAAATACTTAAGAGCCACAACTGGTATACTTGAAAGCAACAAGCTAAGATTGTTGGCTTCCTATCTTCTTAAATTTACTTGGGAATAATTCTAGGGAAAAGTGGATTTAGTTTCTTTCTTAAATGGTCTAATAATCCACAGGCTGTTGCTTTCTGAAAACCTCCTAGTTCTACTCTTCTCAGGCTGGAATCTCCCACCTGGACCACAGCCAAGTCTTGGGTTGATGTTGGCCTTTTAAAAACCTAGCTTTGATGTCAGGTTGCGGCTTTTGCTGTGAATGACAATAACTGTCTTGGAAACACTCCCATTTGACTCATTAGATAAGGAAATAGGGAAACCTGCCAACACGTGGGAGAGCTGATAGAGACCATCACACTGCCAAGCCACCCTGCCAGGGTGCAGGAGGGCCTTTGTGACCAGTTGAGAGGCCAAGGTATACTTTCAAGGGCCTGTTCAGATCCTGTTACACAGTTGCTACTTCCCTGAAAACTGAGTTCATCTGTGTGGCACAAGATTTAGACCTTTTCTAAATGAAGATTACTTGTTCTCTGGAGTCCTGGCTATTGTGGAGCTCCTCCTCCCTCATCCTACTCCTGTTTAAAGGAGTCTTTTGTTTCTGGTTGAACTGCTTGTAAAGACAAGCAGAAAAATATGGAGGTGTATCTAGTCCCTCTATTTGCAGATGAAAACTAAGAAACAGACTTGCCCTGAGTTGGAATCAGAGCCTTACTCTAATATAAATTGCCATTTTTGAAAGAGTCTGTGGCTTTTCCAAGGTCACCTTGTCAATAGCAAAGTTAAGACTAGAATTTAGATCTTCTAATTTCCAGGCCAAAACTAATCAGCAGCCTCTGCAGGGCAGATGTGCTAGAAAGATCAGCAGTATTAAGAGATTTAATGACCAAAAATGACTCAAAGGAGATATCAAGAAGCCCATGACACGATTTTCACCTTCAGAGACCCCTGGATATGTTGTTAGACTCAAGTGTTTTCACATGGATGTTTTGGGGGAGACTATCTCAGAAGCTACAGAGGAGGTAAAACCCCACTGATTATCAGTCAGCTTGCAACCAGGGTAACAGGTAAAAGTGACACAGGCCAATTAATGAAGCCCAACAGGAAATCAGTAGTAACAAATATTGGCAAAGGAAACAATCCTCCCATAAAAATTTAAAGCAAAAAACAGCTGAAAGGAATGTTGAAAAAAAAATTGTTTTTGTTTTATAATTTCCTTCTTAATTCAAGGAGAGATTTCTTTCTTTTTTTTTTTTTTTTTTTTTTTTGTGGTGCTGGGGATCAAACCCAAGGTTTCACATATGCTTGGCCAGTGCTCTTTCACGGAGCTACAACCTCCAGCCCTATTTATTTTTTAAATTCTTTGGGGATCTTTATTTTATTCATTTATATAAGGTGCCGAGAATTGAACCCAGTGCCTCACATGTTAGGCAGCTACCACTGAGCCACAATCCCAGTCCCCCTATTTTGTTTTAAACTGCATTTTGCAAATAATGTGTCAGGATACTGTGACCAGTGCTGCTTTGGTGTATCCATAGGCAACCTTCTAATATGTAGGGAAACCAAAAAAGTCCACCACCCTCATCAAGGAATCACCCCTCTCACTTTGTCCTGTCCAACAGCCTAAAAACAGGTTGATCTCCCCCATCCAGGCTTTGGAGAAGAGCGAGCTTGCAAAGGACTGGCTCTCTCTTGGACAGCATATTTTTTTCACAGCGTTTATACTCTGACAGCACTTTTGAGAGTGCAAAAGATGTTATTGGATGAAGAGTTTTTTGTTTTTTTTTTCTGGTAAGAATGTGTTTTAGCTAAAACCAGTTATTCCTTTCAGTATTGGTTAGGGTTGATTGTATATCAGTATTAACCCAACCCCTGGCAGATGTTCAGCTGTTTGCTAAACAGCAATTCTAGAAAATTTGAAAAAGATGGCTGTGATTCTTATAGAAATTGCATTCATGCATCTGGGGAGTCACTTCTTTACAGATGAATATTTTTACTGTTAACATGATTTCCTTTTCAAAAAAATAGTTATGTTGAAATGTACTGACATTAGAATGTGAACGGTAAAACTGTTGGTAACCGAACTTGAGTTCTCACTTAACAGTCCCAGAGCTTACAAATTCAAATGCTGTTAGGGGCCAGAAAGGTAGAAGTGGTGTTTAAAGTAGTCTCTACTTAACTCCAGCTGATTGTCCTCTTGTGGGAATTGAGGCTCAATGTTGAGGCCGAAACCAGATTCATTTGCAAAATCTTCTCTTTTTTTAAATGTTGGTAACTTATTCAAAAAATGTTGACATGGGCCATGTTGCTTCTAATCAAAACTTTCTGCCCTGCCCAAGAATTCAAGCAACACGTATTTTATTGAAATAGATGTTGCATGACCTCTTCAAGTGTATAAATTTTATTACTTAAATATCTCTTCACTGAAAAATCTAAAACATAATACAGCAGGCCAAGAATAATCATTCTAAGAAATAGAATGTAAATAAACATACCTGACTGTAAATAAACATACCTTGGAGTGAAGTACATATTTTCATTTCATTATTCCCAGTGGTTTTAGTTTGGCATATAGCAAGGATGCAGACTGGTTTCTGAAAACCACCTCCCTCACTTCCCACAAAGTTCCTGGTTTTGGCGCACAAAGGTTACAAGGTGCCTCTGCTGGGCCTTGGCATCCCTGTTCCCTACTGGTGGAAACTGATTTTTCTACAGATGGGCTCAAACTTCATCTCCCTAAAAACACCTGCTTGATTTTTAAGTTGGACAGTTAATAAGCGGGGGGATATGAAGTATGAGAGTAGGTGTCTGTGTGTGACATTTGTGCCCTACCTCCAGGAACCTCAAATTCAGAGTCACAGACCCTCTGGATATTCTTTAGGTCCTCTGAAAGGAAGGTCTTTGCTGAGGCTTAAAAAGCAGTTTGGCCTTTGGCATCTTATAAAGAGATTTACTGCCACATCAGTGTGGGTGAAAACAAAGGTTTACAGGTGGTTGGTTGGTTTTGTTTTTAAAGCCAACTATAATCCCATCATTGTATTTCTAAGGAAAATGTAAACTGTTCATACATTCTCTTTAAACATCACAGTGAAAAACAAGTACCCGTATGTGTGATAGGGCAGGCAGAGGGCTCCATCTGCTCTGCCCTTGGCAAAGGCCTGTGGCCACACTAGTGAAAATGCCAGCTTTGCTTCTGCATGGATACTCTTGCTGTGCCATCCCACTGGAGCACCGGTGGACCCCAAAGGCAGGGCAGGGCAGGGGGAGGGAATCTTTTGAAATGTTTCCAGGAGCTCTGTCCAGCTGTCTCTGTTCATCTTGCAGCCCAGGAATGCTACACAAAGCTACAAGGACAATGATGAGACTATGGATCTGGTGCCATTCTCTAGGGAAGACTTGGCTTGGAGTGTGGCTGCCTGGATTCGAAAATGCGTCCTTGACTCCATGGAATAATTCTTGTAGTTTTGCCTGGAAGTGAGCAGAAAATTAGATACATGAAGCTGCTCTGGGAGGTCTTTTTTCTTTTTTCTATTTGAGCTTCTCCCCTGTTATGTTTCAGAGACTCAAATCCCTGACTCATCCATATGAGTGTGGAGTCCTAGCCAAGGGAAGGAATACCCAGAGGGTGTGTGCCCCCTCACCCTGGTATCATGCCCTTTGGAACAGTTCTTGGTCCTGTTGGGTCCCTAAACATGAAGGGGTGGTTTCAGGAGATATATCCCTGGACTAGAAGGCAGGAGACCTGGGTCCTCACGCCAGTCCTTGGTAGCCCACTTCCTCTGGGATTCCAATTACTTGTTTGTAAGTTGAGGAAGTAGTTTTCCTATGATAGTGCAGAGCTGGGTACCCAGGGATACATGATTGGCCTCTGGACTGTGTGCCCTCCCCAAGAAGCCTCCCTCACTGCTTCCTGAGGGCTCCTTTCCCCCTGCCCAGCTCCTGAGTTCAGAGTGAGCAAAGGACAGATGGAGGTGACTCAAGCCTTACTTGGCTGACTCCAGGAGTTTGATGGCCTCTTCGTTTCTGCCTTGCTCCATAAACAGCAGGGCCAGTTCCAATAGGGCATTTGGGATCAAATAATGGTCATATTTAATCTTCTTTTCACTGCAGAACAGAAGAAGGCATGGCTTACAAATTTTTGCCCTTGAGGTGTCCTTCGGGTCCTCCTCTGTAGCTTCCCAAGAACTTCATATGAGGATTTCCTGACCTGCATTCCAATTTGGGAAAGTTGCCACTACCTAACCTTAGAAAGGTTAGAGTCCACAGGGGAGCCTTCTAGTTCTATACCCTAAAGCTCCTGACAATCTATGTGTCCTGTCTATACTTAGCCTATCCCCTGCCTCAATACCAACTGCATACTCCAGGCTGAATGGTTTATTAAACTGGGAGGTCTCCTGGCTCTGACCCATGTTCTATGCTGCCCCTGAGTCATACTTTTAAAACACAAATCTGCCTTGTCCAGTATCCTTCCTGGCTCTCCTCTACAGGATAGTTTAGCCTTATGCAAAAGAACATGCAGCCTTCTTTATTTCATGTTATACCCTTTTCTCTATAGCTTCACTTATGCAGCAAAGGATCTCACCACTGTTACCCCAATCTCAGGTGTTTATCCTGTGTCCAGGCATTTGCACAGGCTGTACCTACTTTCTCCCTTACTTTCTCTGCCTGATAAACTTCCCAATTTAAATAATCAGCACTGGAAAGCCTTTTCTAGCATTTCCAATTAGGTTTAGATCCCTCCTCCAGGCATCCTCTGCTTCCCTCCAGCATAGCCCTAGGCTGGGCTATCCATAGATATCCATCTCTAACATGTTGCTTCCCATGCTGCTGAATTACAAACTTTACCAGGGCACTGTTCACTGGAAACATGGTTGTATGATTTGGTGAGCCTGGACGTCTAGGTCTGAATTCTCTGTACCCAGCACAGTAGACAGTAGTACACATGGGTGAATGGGGTTGGCTGCTATCAGCTACATGAGGATGGAGGAGGCCCCCAAAATTCTTCCCAGGAGGCCTAGGCCCAGCAGGAGCAGCCAGAGGTACTTACTTGGCAGAGATGCTCCTGAAATTCTCCTCAGCCTCCTCGATACGGCCTAGGTATTTCAGACACAGGCCTTTCAACAGTTTCACCAAGCACTGATCATCTGCTGAGTACTCATTCTCTGAGAACAGGGGTGTAAGGGAAGAAGATATAGGCTTAGTCATTTCTGCTTCATTACTTGGGGAGCTCCTACTCTGTAGGTCCCAAGATAAGAGTGAATCAGACAGTCCCTGTCCTAGGGGGAGGGGAGTTCACATCTGAGAAGGAAAAAAAGATACTGAGACTGACAATACAGAGAATCAGGCATGAAAGAAGGAAGCCCAGGGGCTGTGGAAGCCTAGAGGAGAGGCCTTGACAAGGGGACAAAGGATAGCTACTTGGAGGAGCTGACATTTAAGGTCAGTCTAGAAAGAAAAAAGGACAGTTACCAGAATAGAGAAGCGAGGAAAAGCATTTTTGGCTGAGGGAATCTTCAACTGTAAAGACCTGCCCTAGCCTGGCAGGTTCAAGGGCCTGAGTGTAGTCACCTGGGCCCTTTGCCAGCATCTCTTCAGCATTGGTAATAATCTCAAGCATCCCATCTGTGAGTTCCGGCTGCTTCCCAATCACAGCATAGCCATTCCAGATGTACATCATTTCCTGAGGGCAGGGGATAGGGCAAGTCAGTCCTACATTTCTGCCCTAAATGGGGACTTAGTTTTTCCATCTATAAAATGAAAGCTCAGATCAGAGGATCTCACAATCCCTTCTAATTTCTCAACCAGGTTTCAGCCCAGCCTGTAAAGTTGTGGGCTTGAGAGTGGTATGGAGGGAACTTCATCACATATTATTGAGATCTCACCTTAACCCCAGTCAGGAATTTAAGATGGCCCAATGTTGGGGAAGGGGGTACAACAGCTCAGTGGTAGAGCGCTTGCCTAACATGCAACAGGCCCTATCACTGGCAGTGGGGCAGAGGATTCAATATCCTCACTATTCTGCTCATAACTACCAATATGTTTCATCTACTTTTCTATGGCTTCCCTGGGTACTGTTATGTCTTCTTCCAACCTCTGTCCAAACTTGGCATTTCTAAAGACCAGGCCATGTCCTAGCCAACAAGAAATCCTCTTTTCCATCCAGCAGGGACTCCTTATATTGGAGGAGCCATAATTTATTCAAGTACTTTGGGATAATAGAATTTAATACTGTCATCTTTTCTCCTGTCCTCCCCAATGAGCTCAATAATGGCAACTCACATTCCATTTCCTTTAGAATTGCATTACTATCATGAAGACTATAAAATATATCCTGATTCCATTTTGTTGTTGTTTGTTGTTGTTTTGCCTTGACGTCCAGAAAGTTCAGGATATTAAATTTGCATTCAAGTAACTGTTAGCTTAGATTAGCATTTCCTAAACGATCAAACCCAGTATTGGAATGTAATTTGTATAAAGTTCTAGAAAGATACTGTTGCAGTTATTATATTCTAGGAAGGGAATTTGAATTTAGACCAGTATTTCTCAAATTGTTCTATTGTCCCAAGTTAGCCAATATCCCATTAAAAAAGAGGGGGGTTTTGTGCCCAAATAAGGGGAAAAAAATCATACATATCTTTAAGCTTCTTCTGGGAAACCTATCATTTAGATCAGCATAAAAAATCTCCAAGAAAGTCTACAACATATCAACTTTGTTTAGGCTCACTTTCCCAATGTATTTAATCACTGAAACTATTTTCTGCATAAATAGTGTTTTGCAGATTACAGTTTGGGAAAATTCTGCCCTAACTTTTCAGTAAAGTTGCATCTTCTGCCCTTCCTACAATAATCCTTTCCTCCATTTGATAATAACAGCTTTACTATATATTTTTAATTGTAAAATTTTTTAACATTTAGAAATATTCAGGCTCTAAATAAAATTCTTTATAAATATTGAGCTTTTCAAGTTACAAAGTGTTTAACTGTGGAAATAGACAAGACACATATTATCAGGTTTATATTGAAGAGGAATTCTACCTAAGGTATGCATTAGTGAGTAGTGGAGCTGGCTTCAGGTCTCTAAATCAGGGTTCCTACTTTTCTAACTGCCTTACTAGTTGAATAACAATATGATTTTTAGCTAAGGGGAAGTTTATCTGATGCCAGCTCAAATCAGGCATTGAATTAGCTTTATAACAGTGGCTCAGAATACAGGTTCTGAAGCCATGCTGCTGAATTCAAATTCTGACTCCAATTTACTAGCTGAGCAAACTGGACAAGTAAGTTCATTTTTGTTTAAAGTTAAATAAGACATGGGCTGGAGACTCCAGCCCTCAAAAAAGATGAGTTTAGTGAAGGGGGCACCAGCATGAGCAACAATTATTATCATCATGTGACAGAACTGGAATAGTCTGGGAACAGAGGACAGTCAGGTTGATGCCTCTGCCTAGGGACCAGGCTGTGGCCTAAGAACTGCTCTTTCTGCCCTGAGGTATCTCCTCCCCATGCTCCAAGACCAGCACTTTTCTCAGGTTCAGGGCCAGGTCAGTTCATCTCTGTTCCTACCCTCAATCCCAGGTGAACTGTGAAACCCTCTCCAGGAGGGTTTCAGAGACAAGAAAGTTTCCTCATGTACTTCCCACAGGCAGTGGCTCTCATCTAATTTTCACAATCCCAAACCCAAGGGCAGGATCAAGCCAGACCTTCCTACCCACCAGAGCAGGGATTGGCAATGAGATAGGGTTCGGGGAGAGGTAGCGCCTGGACTTCCGGATGGCAAACTTCTCTGTGGGTAGAGATTTCCCAGCAATCTTGAGCTTGAGGCCTGGCACAGCTCTGAGAAAGAGACAAGGAGGGTGGGGAAGAAATGAGAAAAAGCAAGAAAGCACTGAGGGTCCCCAGGCTACCCAGCCTCTACTTGGTCCCTCTCTCTGGACCTGTTTTTCCATCTGTATGAAAAGAGTGACTCTTAGAGCCTTCCAGGTTGAAATAGCCTCTGGCTATAGTCTTATTTCATAGGCCCTATCTCATCACCTGGCTACTTCCTTTGGCTAGTCAAAGGGTTTGTGGCTGGTGAAGGTAAAAATATACCCAAATGCTACTAGGCTTGCCCCGTGTTATCCTAATATTGCTCTTCTTCTCCCAGGCTCCATTTCCTGGGAGGACCCAATGGAAATCTAATTCTAGTTTCACAGGGGAGACCAACATCCAGAAAAAGGGTAGGACCTACCTAGACCAAACTGCTCAAAGCCTTAGTTAATTCCAGTCTCTCGAGCTTTAGCCTCCTCAGGTGTTTCCAAGGGCAGAATAATATGCAGTATGCAGCTAAGCACACCTCCATATCTGAATCTTCACCCACCAGCTCTCCTACCCTCCAATTTCTGCCATGGTCACTTGGTATGGCCATGACCTCAACCTCAGGCCTGAGACATTTAGGCTCCAGAAACAGCTGGACATAGGAGTGAGGCCACCCCAAATGCCTTGCATGCTGGAAGGAACCTCTCTGAGCCTCAGTTTTCTCATCTCTATAGTATTAATGATACCTACCCTCACAGGCCTTCTGGAAGAGTTCTATGGGACAGGGATATGGAGTTTGCTATAGTAGCAGGCACTTCATAAGTGATACATGCTGTATGTGACAGTAGTAGTCCAGGAAGTTCATATTATACCCACTTCCAAGTCTGCAAAATGGGTTCAGCCAACCTCACCATGACCCTAGGAAGAGTCTAGACTCCCTTCTTTAGCCTGCCACAGCTAAAGGAGCTTTCCCTTAACAATCTTTTTGCCTAGGGAGGCAAACAGGTGGTACAGATAAGAATGAAAACAGCACCACTTGGCAGACTGCTCACTAGGTTCCAGGTCCTAGGCCAGGCACTTTAAATATATTATCTAGTTGTCACACAATAACCCTGCAAGATTTATGATGCTGAAACTGTCCAAGGTGACACTACTAAGAAATGGCACTGGCTGAGCTAGGCATGGTGGCACACACCTGTAATCCCAGCCACTTAGGAATCTGAGACAGGAGGCTTAGGATCCTGAGGCAGGAGGATTGCAAGTTTGAGGCCAGCCTGCGCAACTTAGTGAGATCCTGTTCTCAAAAATAAAGAGGGCTGGGGATGTAGCTCAGTAGTAGAGCACTCTCAAGTCCAATCCCTCGTACCACAGGGGGGAAAAAAAAAAGGCACAGGCTGGATTAACCTTGTTGGTTTGGTCCTCATTTGTGGGGTGGGCTCTGTACTGTGCTTCTGGAGTGCATCAGGCTAACTCAGCTGAAGGAGGACCTGCCCCTCTGTAGGTCTCAGTGTCCACCTCTGTTTTACTGACCAGATGGAAGAGGCTGAGTGGTAGATGAAGTCTACAGAACCACTTATGAAAGGAAACCTGGGCATTCAAAGGGTTCTGACCAGCAGCAGCAGCAGCATCATAGTGGGTGACAGGAGATGACAAGCTGTGAACACTCTCTGGACAGGAAGCCCAGAGCTGGAGGAGATGGCCACCTCACCAGGCCCCTTTCTGCTACCCTCATCAGCTATGAAAGGAGCCTGGTTGGTCTGTCTACAGTGGGATGGCAGGACCTACCTAAATAGCTCCACTTCATCATCCCCAAAGGGCTTGTAGTCCTCCTTCCCAAACATGCTAAGGTAAGCGGCCTTCATGTAGATGTAGGTGGCCTGTGAGACATCAAGAGACAAATGTGAGTAACCCTCCTGCCAGTCACTGTTCCAGAATGGCACAAATTCCTCATTCAGATCTCACTGTGGCTCAACATTCTCCCGAAGCCCCTGGGGAGAAAGTGACAGTGAGGAAGCTGAAGTAACTTTAGGAATTGAATTGGGAGTTAAATCCTGGAGGATCTTATGTCAAAGCAGTCATCCCCTCCATCCTGAAGCAGTGGAGAGAAGGACCAAGCAACTAGTAGCTGGGATGGAGACAAAGACAGCGAGAGCATCAGGGCTTCTGGGATGCAGCGACTGAGGAATGGACTCTTGAAGGTCATTCAAGGAATTGAAGATTCACAGAGGCACAAGAAGGGGCCTTCCAGCCAACAAAGGGTGGCCCGAACAAAGCACTGGGGGTGGGACTGTGCGATATAGACCAGTGGCAGCCGAGTCCGGAACTGGATCCCTGCGCGCCTGCGCACGCCCTCCCCCGGAAGTCTATGGGAGAGGCGCCCGGTTGGGTGCTGCCTGGCTCAGTGCTGCCCAGCTGCGTGCTGCCCTCAAGTGGCCCATCCTTGAACCACAGCTCATGGCTCCTGGGGCTGCTGCCAAGGAAAACACCTGCCAGTAGCCAAGAAAGAAATAGGAGCAGGACATCCTGGAGTCTGATCTCTGGAGGAGGCAGAAAGCAGCCTTCCATCTGGCAGCCAAGCTGAGCCCGCGCCTCAGTCAACCCTTCACAACGTCAAAAAGCTGATGGAAGTTCCCCCTTGTGGAAACCTGTTCCCCAGCGCACTCTAGCTCTGTCCCTTTGCCCCGCCCAGTTCCCAGCGACTTTACCTCCTGTCCAGCCTTGAATCTCACAGGCCCTGCTCCCACAGACACCCCTCAGTCACCGCACCAGCCCCCCCACGCTCTCCCCGCTGCAGGCTGTACTCCTAGTCCACATGGTCTCCTGTGCTCCCTGCTCCCATTCCTACTCCCCTGCAAGCCATTACCCACACCATGGACTATGAGATTCAGTTTTCCCCACTCTCCTACTTCATCTCCTACCATCTCCCCTCACTCACACACTCCTGCCACAGGCCTTGAGCTATTCCCAGAATAGTGTGTTTCCCTGTTTTCCAACCAGGCCTTATCTGCAGCCTACTGCATCCACAGCTCGCTCTGTTTGAAGGTCCTTTCTTTTGAGGGGGTGGGTATCAGTATCAGGAACTGAACCCAGGGCCAACTCAACCACTAGCCACATCCCCAGCCCTATTTTGTATTTTATTTAGAGACAGGGTCTCATTGAGTTGCTTAGCGCCTCACTGTTGCTTATGCTGGCTTTGAACTCGCCATCCTCCTGCTTCAGCCTCCCGAGCCACTAGAATTACAGGCGTGCACCACAGCTCCTGGCTCCTCTGTCTGAAGTAACAGAAAAGCCTGCACCTTCAACACATTCCAGTTTCTTCCCTGACAGGCATCCCTGACTACCCATACATTAGAAGGGGATCAACATAATGATGTATTATACATCTATATATGTAGTTGTATATACATCAACTAGGATGTTAGCCTTGAGCAGGGTCTTTGCTTTATTCACTCTTGTATTCCTGTCCTAGAACAGGACCTGGCACTTGGGGGTGCCCAGAATGCACAAATCTGTAAACCACTAGCATTCAAGGGTTGTCCTTACCCCTGATGTTACCATAAAGCCCCAAAAGTCACTGGAGACCTTCACCACCTGCCCCAAACTCCTTTTCTGGCTTATCTGCTGCCATTTCTTCTCCATTACTACTTACCCACCCAGGTCTTTGCCTGCACTGTTCCTCTGCCCAGTATGCCACTCTCCTCTGTCGGTCTCATTCTCCTAAGAGCCTTCTCTACTCACCCCAGACAGCTCGCCCTCACTGTGCTACCAGGAGCTAGAATGGATTTGGTGACCTAGAGTTGTACACATTCAAGTTATCCAGGGATGTTGTAGAACATAGCAGCCACCTCCCCTGTTGGGAGTCCCTTCTCCCCAAGGTACCTGACGCTCTTTGATTCCACAAACATTTACCTTGCTGGATTACAGTACAGGGTCTGTGCAAGGCAGAAAGTAATTGTCTTCAAGAAGCTTACATATCATTGGCTGGGGTTGGGCTCAGTGGTATAGTGCTCGTCTAGCATTCATAAGGCACTGGGTTAGATCCTCAGCACCACATAAAGTAAAATAAAGATATTATGTCCACCAAAAAACTAAAAAAAAAATTTCTTTTTTTAAAAAAAGCTTATAGCAAGTGGCTCAGAGGAGGAAGGACTCTCTAGTGTCCCTGCACACTCACACCCCACACCCCTCAATGCCTCCGTCCTGATAACACAGAACCTCTTGGCCCAAGCCTTTGCTCTTGCTGTCCCTCTTACTTCCTCCACTCCACCACACTAACTCCTCCTCCAAGGCTCAGCTCAGAAAGCTCCTCTTCCTGAGGCCTTCCTAGTCCTCTGGGCTGCCTCAGAGCTGCTCTCATCCCCCTTTATATTACTAAGTGCATAGATGTCACTACCAAATTTCTGACCATCTCAATCCCTAGGCTAAGCACAGGAGAAACTCAAAGATCTTCACAGGGTTGCCTTTGAAGGGTCCAAGCAGAGAGAAATCTGAGTAGAGGAGGTGACACATATGACACATATGACAATGGTCACAGGCCAAATCCCTAGAGTAGGACATTGATTGACACTGTGGTGGCCACATTCTAAAGATTAGGAATGGATAAGCCCCAGGACTCAGGGTGCTACAACCCCCATTTTCTATAGGAAACCCCCTGACAGTATTATAGATAGATAGGGACTTACAGACCCCCCAAAAAATCAGTAAGCTGGGGACTGAGCTGGTTGTCACAGCCAGAGATGTCCTGACACCTGGGAGACTTGGCCCTCCTACTGCTCCTCAAAGCAGCTGTGTAGATGCCCCACGCCCCGTCTCCCCCAAGTGGGTGAACCCACCTGCCACCTCACTGCACAGGAAGGCTTCCACAGTCACTTTTAGTTCAAAAAGGTTCCCGAGGCTTAGTTCTACTCGGAGTGGAAGGTGATGAGGCATGGGTGTGGTGGGCACACAGGGGCTGGGCCCAAGAAAGCCCCCAACAACAGAGTGGTCTCAGGGCAAGCCAGCCTCCCTGGGAGGACTAGAGCAGTGAGGGAAGAGCAGAGGCCCCTGAGTCTCAGAGACTCAAATCCAGGGTTTGTCACCAACAGCTAAGTGGGCCAGGAAAGTCAGCCTCAGAGTCTGGCATGTGCTCAATGGAGATGGCAACTTTTCCATTGGTTGTGATGTGAAGGAAATGGAAAGAGCCAGGCAGTTCTATTGGACAGCACTTGCCTAGACATGTGAGCCATGTTTCTATTCCTTGTGACCAAAAATCTTGACTGACATAATTCTGGGAATGTAGCTCAGTGGCAGAATGCAAACGTGGCATATGCAAAGCTCTGGGTTCAATTCCTAGCACCAGAAAAAAAAAAAAAAACCAAGTTTCTCTATTCCTCATGATTTTAGTACCTTCAAACTCTGGGTCCCACTAGAAGGTATGGTCCTGTTTAGATTCCATCTGGCACATCTGTTCAGCCAGGGGGTTAGCTTTTGGTCTAGGGATTCATGGCCAGTCTGGGTCAGCCTGAGCATCCCAGTACCCTGACACGGGAAGTCAACCCACCTTGGACCAGGAGTTCTCCTTGCTGAGCAGGTCGGCATAGAAATAGGACATTTTCCACTGGCCCTTGTAGGTGAAGCACCACATCAGCTCCCAGTAGCACATGTGGTGAAACTGCTTCCAGTGCTGCTGGGCTTCACAGCACTCCTCAAACCGCCGGATGGCCTGTGGACACCTCTGCGTCAGCCTGGTGTGTCCTGCCCCACCCTCTGCACCCTTTGAGACCTCCACCTCCACAGCAGACCTGACCTCCTCCAGTGCATGGTGGTCCAGCCCTGTGCCAGGCTTGGGTGGGGCCAGGAGATCTTCTTTCTGTCCTGGTTCTACCCACCTAAGTCTTATATGTCCTTGGGCCCATTACTGCCCCTCTTTGGGACTCTAGATTTCAGTCACAAAATGAAAAGGTAGGACAGAGCTACACTGGAGGGGATAACAGGAAGTGGAAGGAATTAACATGACAGTGATAAAATAATGTCTATCAGTAGCCTCTATAAGATTACCTGTGCCTGAGATATTTGTCCTACCAGGGCCAGCTAGAAACCCCAGCACTCCACACTGTAGAATCTGCTGTGGGCCTTGACTTAGTGCTGGAGTCTCTACCAGTACTGTGACCCTTCCCATCTCTAACTCTCCCTGGCTCCCCTCAGCCCCTGGCAATACCACTCTACTCACCAGGGTCCAGCCTCACCATGCTCTGAACAAATGGCTTTTCCTACTCTCCACCTCCCTTAAGCATCCCCCTCACCTAGAATATCATACAGCACAACAAATCATTATGTACAACTCTAACACACCATTAAAAAAAATGGAAAGAAAAAAAATCCTACAGTACAGATACCATGTCCTCCTTCATTTTCCCAGACTGCGTTAGTTAGAAGTGAATCTCCTACCCTACACTTGTGTGGGTCCTCTCTTGGGGCCCCACTACAAGTCTGCTCTATCCACTAAGGATGCTTCTGTTTGCCTAACTTCCTGCTGGGCTGGGAGACCCCAAGAGACCCCCAACACTCACTGCGTCAATGTTGCCTTTGATGGCTTCAATCCGCCCAGCAAAGAACAGGAAAATGGCGCCCTGCAATGACATATATAAGGTATGTATGGGTCCGTGGTGTGCTCATGGGCTTGGGGGTGCTTGGCTGAATGTGGGCTCACCTTGGGGTATCGATTCAGGTAGGGCTTCAACAGCTTCTCTGCCTCCTCGATGTTGACATTCCCAGTACCTGAAGGAGGTAGCCAGGGGAGCATAAAACATTACCTTCACAGGCTCCTGGTATTCTTCCCAGCAGCCTACCAGGGCCTTCCTAGGGCCTCTACCTCCCACTCTCTGAGATAGGGATGATAATTCTTCCTATCTCAAGGCAACATAATAATTAAATAAGATAATGCAGATATCACCCTGGCACATCACAGAGCTCAACAGTCAGGTGCCAAAATCTGCCAAGTTTGTGTCCAGAAACACAGAAACAGCATCTTCACTCCCTGCAAGGTAGGCACAATCATGCCAATTTTGCAGATGAGGAAACTGTGGCTGGAATGTGGTTACACTGGAAGGAACTGAGTGGCCAGCAGGCTAGGCCACAGGATAGTCAATGCGGCTCTGTTATTTCTGGTTTCAGTAACCCACCCCCTTTCCCACAGGCCTGGACATAGTTTGCAACCTCTGGTCCTTGGAGACCACTAGACCCGGGGCCCCACATAGGGCTCCTACCAAGCACGAAGGTAAGGAAGGTGTGGTAGCACAGCAGCAGCATGACACAGAGCACAGCCCGAAAGCTGTGTCCTGAGGCGCCCTCCTCCAGCTGGAGTAGCCCATAGTCCTGGGGGAAAGGAGGACAGACTGAGGTTCCCAGAGAGAGCCAGGGGCCTGGGAGTCTCTACTGCTGAAGCAGGGGCAAGAGAGCACTAGGCTTGTTTTGGAAACCTGGAGGCCACAGCAGCTGCCCCCAGGCTGTGTGACCCTGAGCAAAGGGTTGCGTTCTACTGTCAGCCTTGTGGTGGGCTCTGAGAGCCAAGCAGCTTGGTCGTGTTGGGAGGAGGTGTGGTGAAAGGAAAATCCTAACCACAGGGTCTGGGCACAGGTGGGGCCACGAGTCCGGGTGCCTGGGAAGGCTTCCTGGGGGAGAAGCCTCCAGAAGCCTCCAGAGCCTAATTTGGGGAGAAGCAAGGCAAGACCCTCCTGTAGTCCCTGCCCCTCAGTCTGTAGTCTGCAGCATTATTGTCCTTCCTGTGTCCTTCCTAAAACACAAACCTGACCTGCCTCAAACTCTCTATGACTACCCTGCCTTTGGGACAAAGCCTAGGCTGGATGCTGCAGGTTAGGGTTACCTATCCTACCTGGGCCTTTCTCATACTCTTTCTTTCATCAGCACCCTGAGACCCTACCTGCCATCAGCAAAACTGACAGGATGGACCTTTGAAGCCTCCAGTCATGGACCACAGATGGTAACAAAAAAAAAAAAAAAAAAATCCTTTTTCTTTTTTATTTTCTTTTTATTTTATTTTTTGTTTTGGTACCAGGAATTGAACCCAGGGTCGTTTAACCACTGAGCCACATCCCCAGCCCTGTCTTTTGTTTTCATTTTGAGACAAGGTCTCGTTAAGTCCCTAGGGCCTCACTAAATTGCTGAGGTTGGTCTCGAACTTACAATGCTCCTGCCTCAGACTTCCAAGTTGCTGGATTACAGCTGTGCACCACTGTGCCTGGCTGACAACCCAAATTTCGAGGGCCCAAAGACAGGCATTCAGTATCACCAAGCCTCAGGTAACAATCTCCCTCCTTGGCTCTCTCCGTCCTGATGGTATCTAGAAGAAAGCTCCAGACCCATGCTGGCATGTGTCAAACTCTTGCCCTAAATTCCCTCTCACAAAGAGAAGCAGCCTGAGGTTGAGTTAGGGGGTCACTATTTCATAAGATTGTGTGGCCCTCGTAATTTTTTTTATAATAATGTTCTTTTTTATAATAATGTTCTAGCCAAATAATATACACTTCATGTAATATGGTTTCATTAAAATAAATTCAAGTGAAAATTGAGTGACTTTTGAGAAAAGTAATATATAAATAATACCGTGGAGATCCACCGGCAGGGCAGATGTCAGGAAGGGCCAGAGACAGTGCACCTCTGAGCAACTCTTATCCAGCCCGTAGGGATCCCTTGTTTCACTGAGAGGTGACTCAGGGGAGGCAGGGACTTGCTCAGGGTCGCAGGAAGGGCATGAGGCTCCTGACTTCCAAGCCAGTGCTCCTTCCACACCACCAGCCTCCTCCACCAGAGAGCCCTCAATGGGGGCTGGTAGGTAACTCAAGTTCCTGCTCTCAGTAAGGCTTCTGGGTGCTCAAGTTCTCTGGTTCCTTCTCATGTTCTGAAGCCCAGGATGGCTCCCTTGGGTATCTCCCAGATGAGGTGGGAGCACCAGAAAATTGTCCTGGAGGGAAGGACTTGCTTAAAGCCTTGAAGTGAGGAAGAATCAGAGGGGAAAAGAACTCCAGGTCCCTCAGGGCTGCCCTTCACACCCACCCTCACCCCAGAGCCTCTCCTCCATGTGAGGGGCCAGGGAGGGATCAACTGCCCCATAGGACCAGAATGGAGTGAAGGCAGACTCAGAGATCTGGGCTTTCTCCAGGGTCACATACTGAGGGGGGCTGAGCCTGGACTGGCACCTAGGTCCTCAGCTGCACCCTGTCAAGCCCAGCTTCAGTTCTGGGGAGGAGCAGGACAAAGGCACTAAAAGGCAAGTGTTTACCTTATTTCCTGAAAACCCCACAAACTCCAGGAGCCGCAGGATCCTAGTGGGAAGCATGGACAATGTCTGCAGGAACAGAGACAGCTGGGTACAATGAGGGCACCCCAGTGTGGACAGGGAACCCCACCCCACGGCCTGCTCTTTGAGTAGACTTCTGGACAGCAGAGCCCTAACTTCCCTGACACACATGCCTTTGGAAAGGTCCCTAGTCCTATGTGGCAGGGACCTGAGCAGCAACACCTCCTAAGAGCAGTGCTTCCAAGTCTCCCTGTCTGAGCACACACTGTCCCCTCTGCCTGGAATACCCTTCTCAATCTGCAAACTCCGTGGATCCTTCAAGATCCAGCCAGATGCTTATTCTGTCTCCCAGAAAAACTTCCCCAGCTCTCCTGGAAAAGGACTAGGCTCTCTGTCCTCTGCTGGTCACCAGCTATTTCCAGGCCTGTTGCTTTCCCTGTCATTAAAGCCCTGATATAACTGATTTTTCAAGTTCTAGTGCTATAATGATTTCCCCCATGGTAAATTTTGAGCCACCAATTTGACACACAGATGCACAGATGGAGTCTCTGGAGCCGAGTCCAGCACCCTCCACCCACGCCCCAGCTCTGAGCCTCTGAAGGTTGGTGATATGTGAGGTTTATCTCTGGGTCCTGGTGCCTGGCACATAGCCAAGCATGGTGCACTCAATAATGACCACACATGGCAGAGACATGCAGGGGAGACTTATCTGGAACCCAGACACTGTGGAAATGGGGAGAGGTGACTCCCACTCACCAGGTTGAAGGCTCCTACACCAAGCTTCACTCCTCCTTCAAAGTGCCTGTGGCTCGATCCCTTGCAGTACTGTGAGGACTGGACAAGGTTGTCCAACTCCCTGTGGGAACAGGCAAAGCTCTGTTTCAGTCACATGCTGGGGGCAGAAGCTGGGGTCCCTTCCAGCTGGGCCCAAGGTCAACTACACTTTAGCCTGATCTAACTCCATAGTGGTGGATTTGCACAGTTCTAGAGATCCAGAGAGCTGATACTCAAAGAATTTCTAGCCATCTCTCACCATGACAACACATTCCTCACCCTGAATTTCAGCCACACTGACCTTAGCATGCCTCACCCCTGTCTTTCAGGCATGTGTTCATGCTGTGCATTCTGACTAGAACAGAGTTGCTCAATCTGACAGTTTAGGTAGGCTAGCTAATTTTGTTGGGGCTGTCTCTTGCATTGTTTAGTACATCTCCAGCCTCCACCCTCTGGATGTCAGTAGCATCCTCTCCCCAGTGGGACATTGCCAAACATCTGCAGGGGACATAATTACCACCAGGTGAGAATCACTGGCTAACTTGAAACCCCCCTCCCTCAGGAAATCTTCCAAGAGTTTGCTTAGTTGGAATCCAACCTTTTCTTCCTGGTCACCAACTAAAGATCTCTTAGCCCAGGCTAAGCCAGAGGTTCTCAGGATGTGCCTGCTGCCAGGCATGATGGCACATGCCTGTAATTCCAGCAACTTGGGAGGCTGAGGAAGAGGATTGCAAGTTCAAGGCCAGCCTCAATAATTTAGCGACCCTGTCTCAAAAAAAAAAAAAAAAGAAAGAAAGAAAGGAAAAGAGAAGAAAGAAAGAAGAGGAAAGAGAAGAAAGAAAGAAAGAAGAGGAAAGAGAAGAAAGAAAAGGGATATAGCTCAGCAACAAAGCACCCTTGGCACCCTTGGGTTCAATTCCCAGTATTTTAAAAAAGTGCTTGGGGCTGGGGATGTGGCTCAAGCGGTAGCGCGCTCGCCTGGCATGCGTGAGGCCCGGGTTCGATCCTCAGCACCACATACAAACAAAGATGTTGTATCCGCCGAAAACTAAAAAATAAATATTGAAAAATTCTCTCTCTCTCTCTCTCTCTCAAAAAAAAGAAATATATATATATATATAAAAAAAGTGTCTGCTTCCTTCCTGGACTATCAACGTCTTATGAGTTTTTTATTGGCAAGCACCACTGAGGCTTCTCAGCTCCAGGCACTAGAAGACAGTAGGGAACAAAACGACCAAGCACAGCCCCATAGCACCCATCTTCTATGGGACAGCTCCATCAAGTCACTGCAAGAGTGAAGAGAACCTCAGAGGGGAAGCCCTGGGCCCAATCTCATCTGGGAATCAGAAAGTCTTTAGCTAGGAGGTGACATTTGAGCAGAAAATCTAAGGGGTGAGTTGGAGCTAGCCTGGTACAGAGTGTTTCTGACCAAACATCATATCCAAAGGCCCTGAAGCAGGACTCAGCTGGGCATATTTGAAGAACTGGGGGAAGGCCCAATGTCTGAGGCAGAGTAGAGGAGAGGATTTGGCAAGGAAGGTACGGAAGAGCTCCCAGGAATGGCTGGATAGTGACCAAGAGTCTTCTCAGAGCAGAAGGAGCCTCAGGAGTTGGCAAGAGGTGACCTAACCAGGTGTGTTTTGGAGACATCATTCTGACAGCTGACAGGCAGGCTGTGGGGCCAGAGCACTTGTCTGGCTCCTTGGACGAATCCTGTGCTCCAACCCAGCCACACTTGTCACACTGATGAGCAACACTTATCTGCAGGGAAACAGTCACACTACATGGGAAAGGTGAAGATAAGTAGTCTCACACTTTCATGGGAAATAAGTTTTAATGTAAAATTTAGGGGGATACTGAGTTTTTAGAGCTTTATTTGATGATGGATTATAGATAAAGAACTGTGGAGACATACTGGGTAAAAGTGCTCTTGATTGTACCTTCATTCTTTCATTCATAAACACAATCTATGTCTGGCCCACAGCTGAAAGTCAGGGATCCACAGAGCATGGAAATGATTCTGGCCCTCAAGGGTGGGGTGTGTGTGTATGTGTGTACAATCTGACTACTAAAGGAGTTGAGAAAAGCTTCATGGGGAAAGGATCATGGCCTTCATGGATATGTATGAATTCTGCTATTCCTCGAATGACTGTTCTTGGGTTTGTCTCCCTGCCTCCACTAGACCAAGATATTTGTGTGAAATCTGGGTCTAATTTTTCCCTAGCATAGGCTCAGCCACAGAGAAGGCACTCAGGAGATCAAAGGAACAGATACAGCCAGAAAACCAGGGGGATATTATTTCAGAACACTGAGACACTGGGGGTGCAGAAATCTGCCTGAGCTCAGCACGCTAAACTTCCAGCCCCCAGCCAATACTCTCTGCCTCCTACAAAGCAGCCCAGGGTAGTAGATGCCGCAGCCCCAGGCCTCCCAGCCCTCCTGCTGGCAAGCCCCACTCACTTGTAGGTCTGGTAGCTGTTTCGAACTTTGATGCCCCCCTTGATGAAGCTCACCATGTTCTCATCCTGCAGAAGGGAGAGATGCTGAGAGCCAGCCCAGGCTTGAGAACCAAAACAACCCAACAGGAGTGTGGGTAAACACAATGGGGTATGTTCATCCAAGACAATATCATACAGCCACATGAGGACAAGTGAAGAAAGCAAGCAACACATAGCCTGAGCCCTTGGGAAGTTCATAAACACTGAAGCATAACAATGTGCTGTTCAGAAAAACTGTTTTTAACAACAGGTGGGGGATGAAGGAAAATGAAGATAGTGGCTTCCCTGTGGAGGGAAGCCAGGATGGTGGCAGGATCCCAGACGGCAAGAAGAGTTTCCACCAGTGCTGTTCTTGGGGGTTGAAGGTGTTTATTATTTGTAGTAATATAATAAATAAAATAATCCAAGTGTGATGGTACGTGCCTGTAATCCCAGAGACTCTGGAAGCTAAAGCAGGAAGATCACAAGTTTATGGCCAATCTCAGCAATTTAGTGAGACCCTGTCTCAAAATAAAAAGTAAAAAGGGCTGGGAATGTGGCTAAGTAGTGAAGCACCCCTGGGTTCATTACTCAGTATGTATAAACAAACAAACAAACAAACAAGCCTTTCATGGTGCAATTATTATAGTGAGTCCTAAACCAAAGATTAGGATTAATTTAATTCTAATCACCAAAGGTCCCAAAAGACAATTAAAAAAAAAAAAAAGAGCTAAGAATAACAAACAGCACCCATGTGTATCCCTTCCCTCCAAATATCCTGATAATGTTATAACTATAAGCCAGGCTTTTTAATAAAATAATGCAGTGATAGTTCTCATGAATCCTACGGGGTGGTAAGGAGGCTGTTTGCTAATCCTGTGACCCTGAGAAAATGACTCCTCTAAATTGCCTCTTCACTGGCTTCTGAGTTGAAGATTAAATAACAATGTAAACATATATAAAAACAAACTGACGTGTATGACGTATGGAGAAAGGACATACTTTGCTGTGTGCAAAAGCTTGGTGCACTGTAGGTGCTACCAGTGTTGACTGGATGAATCAAGTGTAAAACGGGCTTTGTGGGCTGGGGATGTGGCTCAAGTGGTAACGCGCTCGCCTGGAATGTATGGGGCGCTGGGTTTGATCCTCAGCACCACATAAAATAAAATAAAGATGTTATGTCCACCGAAAACTAAAAAATAAATATTAAAAAATTCTCTCTCTCTCTCTTTAAAACAAAACAAAACAAAACAAAAAAAAGTGGGCTTTGTGACAGGGCTCTGTGACAATGCCTGTTGCCCCATGTGGTTATAAACAGGAGCAGCAGCAATGAAAAGGTGGAAGCCACACCCCAGGAATGGTTGGGAGCACCTGTGCTAGGTGGGAGAGGAAGAGCACATTCCCTCCACAGTGAGGTTGGCCAGGACCAGGAGCTGGGGCTCTAAGCCTCAGGCCTCACCTGGACCACAAGGGGAGGGTCATGGTGCTATGTACCCATCTGGCATGGACATGGTAACTGATCTGAAATTTCCAGCCTCCCAGCAAAAGGAGAGGTCCCTACCTGCAGGAATGTCAGCGCCGCTCTCTGCAGCAGGCACTCTGCATAGCAGACCTCAGCGTGGATTTCCTCTGTGGGGGAAAAAACAAAATACTGCAGCCAGGAGATGGGGGCGCCAATCCTCAAACCCCCTCTTTTCCCAAAACAAAGGGAGGCTGTGTCAGCACCTCCCCTACCTCTACCCAGTCACCCTGTCCAAAGTTAGCTCACATCTCTCTCCCTAGTCTTTGGACTGGCTCCCAGCCCTAACACCCCAAATATAGGCACAGACCATTCTCCTTCCCCAAGTGTCACTGCAGATGCCGCTGCACCCTGCACCACTGCATGCATTGTTTGATACTAAAACCTATCAGTGCTCTCAGGTGGGTGAGATCATTTGTCCCTGTGCTGAAAAGCCCCAAAATAACTTATGGTTGGCTACTGTCACCCAATGTCATGGCCTAAAGATGCCACCTGGTCTACAACAGCCCAGATCAACTCTTCTGCTGCTGCTGCCATCTGTCTAAACCTGGGGTGTCAATTCCTAAGACCACTTTCCCCTCTGGGGCACACGGTGTCACTAAGGCAAGTACATCAGTGCACCTGATCGACACTCCATTCTAAGCACCCTTTGGTCCCCATGAGTCTCCCTTTCCTCAGTCCAGGTTCTCAGCCAGGCATGCTGTTGGGTGGGCAGGTCTCCTCACACCCTTACCAGAGGCCATTCCTGAAAAGGTCCCAGGCCTGACACACCCATGCCCCACATGTAGGCCCAGGGCCCTGCCCCCGTGGTAACTGGAAAAAGAACTGCCCCTCCCCTCACTCCTCAGGTCTGGAGCTGGGCCATCTGGGCTGGGCACAGATGCCACACCTTCTGTGAATTGGTCCATGGTGGGGCGGTGCACCAGGTTACTGAAGGAGTCTGTCACAGAAGACTTTCTCCTATGCCTGAAAAGGAAAAAGAGGCCTCCAGTTATTAGGTGGGGATAAGAGAGAGGACCAGCCTAGGTCTTTGCCCCTCTTTGCTATGCTCCAGAAAATTCCAAGGTGTATAGGATTCTCCAGATACTGAACTCCTGACATTCCCCAAATTCAGGACTTTCCTACCCCTTTGTCCTGCTGTTGTCTTCTGGCTGAATCCCTGTCCTGCTTCCCTCTGCCCTGACCAGCACCTGGTCACACTCCAGGGCCTTCTGAGGTATTACCTTCTCCAGGAGTCTTTCTCACTTCGTGGGCTAGACACTCAAAACCCTATGAGCCCCCTGAATCATGCTGAATCACTCTCTGGGTCTGTGTCCCTGCCTGGTGGTACAGGCAACAAAACTGCCCCAGTTTGATAATCTAGGTCACCACATCTGGCCCAGGCACTCAGGGTCTATTGGCCCACTTATACAGCAAATATGGATTGGACACTTTCAGTTATGCACCAGGTCCTGTGACCCATGTCCTCATGCAGTTTCCAGAACTACCCATCATCATATATTATCACACCCATTTTATAGATGAGGAAAGTTAGGTCCAGAGAGGGACCTGCCAAGGTCAGATTTATGAAGTGACAGAGCTAGATTTCTCTCCTAGTCAGCACTGGTACCTGAAAGTGGCTTGGTAACTAGAGCAGATGACAAAGGTTTACTGCAGTGCTGGCAGGGACGGCTCTCAGCACTTGAGGACAAAACCTCTTAGCCAAAAGCAACAGCACTAGTAGTGGCATTCTAGACACTAGGATAGGACAGGATGGCAAACAGGGGGACCTCAAACCCCAGACCCTGCCTCCCCATAGCCCCAACCTCTGACATAGCAACTGTGCTTCCTTCATCATGTTGCCGGCAAGCAGGATGTCCTGGGGGTCAAACGTCATCATGGCCTGCATCTCCAGGATGGTGGCATACGTCAGCGAGTGGTACATGCTCTCCTTGGTTCTGCCAGAGAAAAGGGACATTGAGGGCACCCCTCCTCCAGCTCCAGATGTGACTGGACAAGTGCAAATCACCTGCCATCCCCTTCCAGCTCTTCATGAGGGAAGCAGGTACTGTCTGACCCTTTCACTGCCACTCAGAAGACCTCGGATCAGCTCTTCCACATCCTGCTGAGGGGTCCTAAATGACCTTCCAAATTTGAGCCTCAGTTCCTCCTCTCTCTGGGAGGGGTGGTAGCAACAACGTAGCTTGAGGACTAAGGTCCTGGAGGAGTGTGGACCTAAAGCTGCCCTTCCCCAAACCTGGGCCCGCCTCTTGTTTCTGCCCTCACCTCCAGCAGGCAATCCCTGGTCCTATCTGTTCCCAAGATCCCTTCTATCCCCAAGCCCCAACCCTGGGCTAGCTCTCATTCCCAACCCCCTTGATAGCTGTGCTCTCGATCCCTTTGTCCCATCATCTGACCACTAGCCCCTGGTTTAACATCCCAGTTCCACTGGAAACAAGCTCCACCCCTCCATGGTCTGGCTACAATGAATATTGCACCATTGGCCTCAATGAACCACCCAGACCTTCCCTGAGAAAACCCCATGCTCTCCTCCTCATTGTTCCTGTGCCCTGAGATGCCCCTCCCCTGCCTCCAAGCCTCCTGGGAATCCAGGGCTCTTCCTCAGGGTCTGTGTGCCTATGACCAGGCACAGGCCACACTGAACTGTCATCAGCATAGACTCAGCCATCTCCAAAGACTATGAGCACCTCAGGGACAGAGCTTGGATGTGACTCACCTCTGTCCTCTACCTTTGCCTCCTGCCTCCCTGCTCCTCCACAGCCCTGGGCTTTCCCAAAGACGTGTGTTTGGGCAGGAGGGGGGTGGCATTTAGCCTAACATATGGAGAGGGCAGAGGGCAAGGAGGCATGGGAACTATGCCAGTTTGGGCCTTGGTGGCTGTTCTGCAAAAGGGGGCAATGATGCTGGCTGGCCTGGGCCCTGTGGCCCTTGGGACTGACAGGAGGGAGCTGCTTGCCTGGCACAGCAGCAGTGTTGCTGCTTCCCCACGTGCCCTTGTCAATTATTTACAAAACTCCTCAGTGCCAGGCTTATGCTGGGAACTTCACAGGAGAGAGAGATGACTAAGGTTTATAGACAGTTTTATCGTAAAATCATGTGACTCTAACCGTCTTCCTTTCTCGTTCATGAAACATCTGTAGATTGAGTTGCTTTTTTTTTTTTTTTTTTTTTTAATACTTCTGAGTGACTCTTGGGTGTTAGGCTCCTTGAGAGTCAAAGATTCCTGAAGGAAACAAAAAGCTGGAGGACCCCTCGCAATCCCTGCCTGTCCTCAAGACACCTCATCAGGCTTCCTCTGGGGATAGCAGTTTGTGGAAAAATGGCTGCCTGAAGTGGGGCCAAACTTAGACTTCAGAATCCCTTAGACACAGAATGGAGTTTCAGCTTTGCCAGTTACCAGCTGTATGATTCTGGTAAACCTCACAGTTTCTCTAAGTCTCAAGTTTTTCCTCTGTAAAATGAATACAATAACTCTTCTGTCCAAGGGTTATTGTATTTTTTGAGTGACACCCAGGTCAGGGGCCACAATGTCTATGCTCAGTAAATTGAGCTCCTCTGTGTCCTGCTAGGGTCAAGGTTAATTCCCAGCCCTCTCCTGGATGAGGGGCTTCCCAAGCAACACAGACACCCAACCCCCTGACGCCCCACAATAAAACCCTTCTTCAGACCTATCTAACTCAGGACCTAGCCTCTCCCTTCCTCTTCTTCCACAGGTCTCAGTCCCAGGAATCAGCCCCACCTGTCCAGCTTCCCTGCTGAGCCCAGTATGGTACTTGGCCCAGAAGGAGGGACAGCCCCACCTGTGTAGCTGGCAGGCAAAGTAGAATTTCTAGTCTGAGTTCCAAGGCCCCAACATGCATCTGTGGCTAGAATCCTAGCCCTGTCTCAGCCTATCATCTGGAAGCCCCCTAACTCTGATCAACACTGAAAACTCATATACAAAGGTAGGACAACCCCCAAACCTCAGTATGTACTCCACATGTTTTTATTTGCCCACATAGAATCTAGGTCCCACACAGCTGCGCTGAACCCAGCTCTGCCAAACAATGCCCACTGGGATCCCACCTTCCAGGGCCCAGAGCAGTTATCAAGATGGGGAGGGTGCTGGAAGAGCCATCAACAGAGCAGGATGCTGTGACTGGGGACCCCTTGGCCACTTGAGGTAGCCTCAAGTTCTTCCTTCCTGGCTTGCACCCAACAATTAGGCCTTATCAGCCATCATGACGGCCCTTGCTTCCACCATCTGGGCCTTCTCATCCTGACCCAACCTCCACTGCTCCTTCCTGGGCCCCCAACTCTAGTCCCAGCCTAGGGCCTCACTTTCCAAGTATGTCTGAAGGCAGACACAGCCCTCTACCTCACCTTATCTCTACTCCCTCCTCATCAGAGCTCCCACTTCCTAGTCCCTCACCTTGGTCTTCTCAAAATTCACCTCACTGACCTCCTCTCAAGACAAGCTGCTTCCAGGGGACTGTACATCCCATTCACCTTCCCTCAGACTGCTGGGACCCTTCCCTACTAGTACCTGCCGTAGCTCTTCCCACTCCAGCCAGGTTGAGGGTCTCCACCCTCAAATACACCAGAGCCTCATTCACTGTAGGTTCATGCACAGGCTATTCCCTCTCATCCAGCCCAGAAGTTTACATGTCACTTCTTCAAGAAAGCTGTTTGAAGCCAGTTTCACAGGCATTTGATCTGTGCTGCTGCACAGAGCATTGTACCTAAAAAGGTCCTATGTTTGGTTTAATTCTCTGTTATCACTGCCTCAAAATTCTTTTTTTTTTTTTTTTGGTACCAGGGATTGAACCCAGGGGCTCTTAATTGCTGAGCCTTGTCCCCATCCCTTTTTGTATTTTGTTTAGAGACAGGGCCTCATTAAGTTGCTGAAGCTGGCTCTGAACTCAAGGATCCTCCTGCCTCAGCCTCAGAAGCCATGGGATTATAGGCATATGCCACTGTGCCCAGTTCAAAATTCTTAATTTGGAGCTAAATGACCCCACATTTTCATTTTGCAATGGGGTCTGAAAATTAGGCATCTTGCTGGGCACACACCTATAAGCTAACAGCTCGAAAGATTGAAGAGATTGAAGCAGAAAAATTCCAAGTTCAAGGCTATTTAGGAAGTCCCTGTCTCAAAATAAAAAAATAAAAGATAGCACATTGGCTCACATCTGTAATCCCAGCAACTCAGGAGGCTGAGGCAGGAGAATTTCAAGTTCCCGGTCAACCTCAGCAATATAGTGAGGCCCTAAGCAATTTAACAAGACCTTGTCTCAAAATAAAAAATAAAATAAGAGGGCTGGGGATGTGGCTCAGTGATAAAGTGCTCCTAGATTTAATCTCCAGTGCGTGGGCATGCACACACACACACACAAAAAAAAAAATGGAAAAGAAAAAAATTATGCAGCTGGCACCAAAGCCTTCCTGACCCCCACATGAGTTGGAGTCCCTGTGTAGCTCTCAGCAAGCTTATGGTTGGTTTCACTATTCCCCTGCTGGGACCTGACCCCTTAGTCTCAAGTCTCAACAAGTGACCTTTCTCTTGGAGAAATTCCAGGATGTCCACATGGACGCACCCTGAACTTCCTGTGCCCAGGCACATGCAGGTCTGTGCACACCCTTTCCTACCTCTTCACTCCTCCTGGTGGAGAGGCAGCATGAGGCCTTCCTATGCAAGGTGACCGCCTCCACCCTGCCAAGACCCAAGAGAGCACAGTGGTCAGAGTGGGGCCTATGGGCCAGGTGGCCCTGAATTTAATCCCAGCTCTGCCACTTATGAACCATGATCACTTATTTATCGAGAAAAATTAACAGGGTAGACTCCATGTTCCAGAGACAATGCTTTGAGACGGACATAGAGCTAAGTACCAGAGATTAGCAGAAGAGACGTAGGAAGGGAGCTTGGTAAACATAGTGACTTCCCCTGGGAATAAAAGAGGGATAACATCCCCTATAGCTAAGGCAGACAATTAAACAAGACAACATGTGACAGTGAAATTGAATCCCAACCTCTCCTGAAGCTTCAGAGGTTACAAATGGGGACCAGGACTGCTTTTTAGCAAGAATCATTTTCCCTAAACCAGTGGTTCTCAGTGTTGAGGTATTTTTTGCCCCCATAACATGCCCCTCAAGGACATCTGGCAAGTTCTAAAGATTTTTTTTTTTTTTTTTTGGGCTATCACAGGTGGGACATAATTTGCTCCCCTGGGGACTTCTGGCAATTTTGGAGACATTTTTGGTTGCCACAAGGCAGGGTAGGGAGAGCATGCTATTGATACTATCACCTGTGGGAAAGCACTGAGGCACAGAGGCTACCCTGCTCTACATGCAAGGTAAGAGGGGCCTCCTGGGAAGACTGATTCTCTAGGGTACCTCCTTTAGAGTGAGGGTTTTGTCTTTGGAGTGCTTCCCTGAGGTGAGGGAGAGGAGGAGGGAAAAATCCCTCCTCAGGACCTTTTGGTAGGTTCATTGAGGGCCTGGGTGTAACATGCCATGTGATTTTAGTGGGTTTTTTTCCCCCCTATGCTCTGATTCTCTTCTGTTGGCCCCAAGTCTACAGGACAGTCCAGAGTTAAACCAAGGTGTGACCTGGTGTTCGCTAGGCCTCAGGGGATGAGGAGAAAGGCCAGTGTCAATGTTTGGTGTGTGGCAGTAGAGTCCTGAGATAGCCAATTTCCAGTGCAGGAGGTGGCTATGGTCTGGGGTCCAGGAAATGGGAGACAGGAAATGACCAGGAGGGAATTGGGAGCAAGTAGCCTTCCAAAACTGTTGGGAAGGGGCTAGGTGCAGTGGCACATGATGTAATTCCAGAGATTCATGAGGCTGAGGGAGGAGGATTGCAAGTTCAAGGCCAGCCTCAGCAACTTTATAAGAGCTTACCTCAAAATAAAAAATTGGAAAAAAGACTAGAGATGTAGCTCAGTAGTAGAGGATCCCTAGGTTCAACTCCTAGTACCTCAAAACAAAAACTATTGGGAAGGAAACCTGGACAATGGAGCAGGATGACTGGGTCACCTGAGTCCCTCAGAGGGTGAGAATGAGGAATAGTTACCAGAAAGACTCATTCTGATCCTCACATCCTGGATCCCCCACCACACCCCAGAAGCTGGGACCCTGAGCCCAGAAAACAGAATGATGAGCCAGTCAACTCCAGAAAAAGTGAACAGAGGGCTGGGATTGTGGCTCAGTGGTAGCCCTGGGTTCGATCCTCAGCACCACATAAAAATAAATAAATAAAGATATTGTGCCCAACCAAAAAATAAATATTTTTTAAAAAGTGAACAGATCAGGCTTGGGGACTTGTAGAAACCAGTGGGCCTGCCTGGGCATTAGCTTTCCTGGGATCTGGGGAACTGGGTATAGCAATATAGAGGATATCGTAGGACTGAAGAGAGGGAGATTAAGGAAAATAGGCAGATGACATAATTGGACCCCAGCCTCCTCCCCCCACCTCAGAATTCAGGCAGCCCTGGGTTCTCTGTCCAGGCTTAGAAATGGAGGATTCTTTTCAGGAAACTGGACCATACCAGATGCTGACATCTGGGGGCCAGCAGCTCTCTCCCAGATCTCACCAATCACAAGGCTACTTGGTACAGGTTTTCCAGCTGGCCTTTGAGTGAATTTACTGTTAACTATGACTAGGGATCATCAGGTATCTGAGAAAATACCCCATGAGAGAAGGGTTCCCACCATTAAATGAATTCAGGAAACTGGAGAAGCCAAGATCATATGAAAAGAATAAAGATCCTGGGAAAAAAATAGAGCATTTTGAAAAGGGATAATAAGTTGTGATGATAACAACAACAATGATAAGTTAGAAAGCTTACTATGTCAGGCTCTGTCATATGGAACCTCACATTCCAAATGTAGCTATAAAGAAGACAACAGGTCCACAAATCAAGAATAAGACGTTATAGGAAAAAAAAAAAAAGAAGATCCACAGAACAATACAGAATACTAAAAAATTATCATGTACTTGTAGAAGCAGTCAACAGAAGGACTTAATAATGAAACTGAGGAAATTCCCAAAAATTGGAGGAAAAAACGAGAAAGAATCAGAAAGGGGAACGGGAGATAAGAGCCTTAGAAGAGGATTGATCTAAATAAAGTCAGGAAAGAGAAACAGAATATAAAGGGAATTTCCTAGAACTGAGTCTCAAAAAAATAATATGGGATAAAAAAAGACCTTTGTTTTAGCACATCACTGTGAAATCCCAGATTTTCAAGAATAAAAGGGAAGATCCTAAACATTTCTAGAGAAGGAAAAAAGATCACATGAAAAGTAGAATTAGGATTCAGAGAGACAGAAGATGACAGAAAGCAGGGGAGTGATACCTTCAAACTTCTGATAGAAAAAAATGTTATGTTCATGCAACTCTTTGTTAGGAAATTTCTAGAGGGCAAATTCTGGAAAAATCCAGTAGAATATGTGAGAGAACGAGCTGGGTTCAAGGAAACAGGAGAGAGGCAACAGGAGCCTGGGGGGGCAGGTAGCTGGGAGGTGGCCAGGAGACACGTATATCCAGGTTTCCAGGAAGAACAGGGACTGAGAGCTCACTTGGTATTTGGACATATAGGGAAAAACTCATGATAGGATCAACTGGTAGAGTTAAGGATAAATGTGTAAAGTGTGACTCTACTTTGGGTACAACCAGAGAAGTGAAAAATTGTGCTCCATCTGTGTACTATGAGTTGAAATGCATTCTGCTTGTCATGTATAAGTAATTAGAACAAATTTTTCAAAAAGTAGTAAGTAAAAAAAGGTGACTTTCAAAAGATATATTCCATGCTTGTATGAATATCAAAATGGATTCTACTGTTCTGTATAACTAAAAAGAACCATTTAAAAAAAAGAGAGAGAAACAGCAAATAAAGAATATAATCAAAGTGTGGGATCAGAAGTTTAAAAAAAAGGTGACCTTCATGAAATGAGAATTATATCTCAGTTTTAAAGACAAAGAAAAAAATGATAAGAAAAAGCAGTGTAGACATATTATCAAGAAATAAGGCAGCAAACACTGGGGAAATTGATTAAAAGATCAGTGCTCATTATTACCCTACTGATCTTGAAGTAGGCAACTGCGGGGAAAATAAGCAAAGCCGATGGAGAGAAGAAGCCCCAATGGACTCAGCAGGAATAAGAGGTAAAGTGGGAAGAAGTGAATAAGTCATAGCGACCTTAGAGAGGTCTCTATGGTGGCTGCTCAAAGGCTGAGGGACTGGGAGCCTGAGCCATTTTATGGGACTTCTCAGTGGTCACGGTGACCCAGAAAGCTGAAGGCATTGAGTTACATGAGGTTCTTCTCATACAAGACCTCTGGTTCTCCATGACCAACATGCCCCATCCCTACACACACATTTGCACACGCATGTGCACACGCAGCTCTGCCCTTCACCCCCACTGGGGCTTAAGCTCACCTGGGTTTGAGGTAGCTGAGTGCTTCTGAGAACTGGTTGGTGAGGAACAGGTCCAGGGCCGTCATGCACTGGTCCAGGGCCTCATGGAGGTTGCTCACAGGAGTCCTGAGGGCAGAGAGATGGGCCTCAGCTCCTCCTGGCCAACTACCTCTCTGGTTAGCCTTGAATATCTTTCCCAAGCCCTTCCAGGCTGCCCACTCTGTACTGGAATGAAGAGACAATTTGGACCCACTTCTTAATGTCTCCAAGGGTGAGAGGAGGAGCAAAAGCGTGTGTGACATCTGAGATCTTCAGGAGGGGTGGGGGAGGGGCTGAGAATAGACAGCAAGAAGACCTCGGAATAAATGTATCTTACCCTCCACAAGAGCAGTGGGAATCCTTGTGGCCTTTTTGACCCATTGGGCTCTGCTGCCCCCCTGGGGGGGTGCAGCTCACCCACTAAGTCCCACTTCTGTCCCTCCTTCTCCAGGCCTCCTCCTGTCTCTCAGGCCTGCACTCTAGAACCCCAGACACTGTCATAATGGGCCATGGAGGGCAGCAGACCGTAAAAGCAGCCCGGGGCATTCCATACTGCAGTCTCACCTTCCCAATGACACCTTCCACATACCCGCCCGCCCCACTTCTCACATTTCTCTGATGTCCTTATCTTCTCTCATATGTGATATATTTTTGTGTTTATGGTCTGCCTGTCTCTCTCTCTCCACAAAAATACAAGCACTAAAAGACAGGAATCTTAGTTTTGATCACTGCTCTATCCCCAGCACTTAGGACCTGGCACAAAGTAGGCTTTTAACGCATATGTGAAGTGAATGAATGAATGAAAAAATGGGAGTAAAAAACTAGGAAAACAAATTCCTAACTTTTCTGATCTTCAGTATTCCCATCTAAAAAATAAGATGTGAAATGAGAAAGATCCCAGAAGTCTAACTGATAATCTTGAGAATGCCTCTTCTCAAGGGCTCTTGTGAGTGAAGGAAGGTTCCAGAAAGGAGCTCAGTGATATAATTGAAGGGAATTCCTATTTCCAAAAAAATAGTAAAGAGAAAACCTCTTCTCCACCAAGTAAACTACCTATACCTTGAGGCCCAATTCTAGTGCTTCCTGTTCCATACATCAGATCTTCCCAGGCAAAATGAGATGTGTCCCGTTTAAACTCCCATTCATTCTCCCAAATATGTTCTCCCTCAGTTCTGCCATTTTAATAAGTGACACACCTCTGCCCAGTTTCTCAAGCCAGAAATCTGACAGTTATCCTTGACACACCCCTCTCACAGGCCTCCATCATCCACTACATCACTAAACACTATCAACTATACTACCTAAATGTCTCAAAACCATCCTCTTGTCCAGCATGATGCCCCAGCCTTGTAATACCAGAGACTTGGGAGGCTGAGGCAGGGAGACTGTGAGTCTGAGGGCAGCATCAGCAATTTAGGGAGGTCCTAAGCACTTAGGAAGATCTTGTCTCAAAAAATAAAGCAGGCTATGGATACAGCTCAGTGATTAAGTGCCCCTGGGTTAAGTCCCTAGTACCCCACCACCACCAAGAAAAACCCTACCTACCCCTTTCCATGCCCAGTGGCCTCTAGCCCAAGTCTCTATCATCTTTACCCAAGTCTGTTCCGATCACTTCCTACCCCTTCATCACTTCCTACCCCTTCTCCCTTTTTAAAAATTTTTTAAAAATACTTTTTTAGTTGTAGATGAACACAAAACCTTTATTTTATTTGTTTTTATTTTTATATGGAATTGAATCCAGTGCCTCACACACTCTAGGCAAGCACTCTACCTCTGAGCCACAATTCCGGCCCCTCAGCTAGACAGTTTTTATTCCACATTTCATGTCTCTCAACTTGCTTCTTTATTATCCATTTGACTTATTAGGTTCTGAATACTTTCTTTCTTTTTTTTTTAATCTTTTTTTTTTTAAAGAGAGAGTGAGAGAGGAGAGAGAATTTTAATATTTATTTTTTAGTTATCGGCGGACACAACATCTTTGTTTGTATGTGGTGCTGAGGATCGAACCTGGGCCGCACGCATGCCAGGCGAGCGCGCTACCACTTGAGCCACATCCCCAGCCCTGAATACTTTCTTTAGGTCTTTCATTTCACGACTTCCTTCTTCAGGTGTGTCTCATCTGTTTGTTATTTGTCCAGGATATTGATTTTTTTTCATGTTGATTATTATATTTTTCCTTTCCAGAAATTCTTCTTGGTTCTTTTTCAAGTATGTTTTGGATATTTTAGATAGTATTTTGTTACCTGCTTATCTTATTGTTTCAAGTTCTTCTTCAATTTCTATATATTTTTGGGGGGAGGGGGTACCGGGGATTGAATCCAGTGGTACTTTATTCTGAGCCACATTCCCAGTTCTTTTTATTTTTATTTTGAGACAGGGTCTCACTAAGTTGCTGAGGCTGGTCTCAAACTTGAGGTCCTCTTGCTTCAGCCTCCTGAATTGCTGGGATTACAGTCATGCATCACTATGCCTGTTTGAACATCTCCACAATTTTTTTTTTGGGGGGGGGGTTGGGGGGAGGGACTAGGGGTTGAACTAGGGGCACTTGACCACTGAGCCACATCCCCAGCCCTATTTTGCATTTTATTTAGAGACAGGGTCTCACTGATTTGCTTAGTGTTGCACTTTTTGTTGAGGCTGGTTTTGAATTCCTGATCATTCTGCCTCAGTCTGTCTAGCAGCTGGGATGACAAGGATGTGCCACCACACCTGGCATCAATGTCTCCACAATTCTTAAGCACAATTATTTATATTCTGTATCTGATAATTCTAGCATTTAAGACTCTCAGATAAACTACTATTTGTTCCTGATATCTGCTGATCATAATGGCTTGTTTCCTTGTGTATTTTAAAATTTAAACATGAATTCATCATTGTCAAAGGGACCTTGGGATAAGGGCACATCCCTCCAAAAAGGACTTCCATTTACTCCAGCCAAGTTCCCTGAGGCACTGACACCCTGAGACCACTTAAGTCACTTTTCTAATTTATGAATTCTAGGACCACAAAAGTGGTATGCATTCAAACCCAGCATTTGTGTCATGGCAGATGAATATTTAGAATTTTCTAGAGAACCCTTTTTCCCCACCAGAACTGTTGTCTCCCTTTTCTGGTGGATGATCTTTTTTCTGGCCCATCCTCCTAGTCACTGAGACTGAAGGCCTTAGGGTCCCACATTTATGAAGGGGAGGAAGACTATGTGCTAATTCCTCATACTTCTGTACCTGCGCAGGCTTAAGACCTCATCTCCCATCCCTTGTGTGGCTGTTGGCATTGACAGGTCTAGGTTTCTGAATCTGCAAGGACCCTAAGGTTGCTGTGGCTTCATTTCATTTTCAGCCTGACTCTAGCTCCCTCTTTGTTCTTGGATTGAGTGGATCTGCTTCTACTGAGGGAGCTCAGAAGGTGTCATAAAGGGTGATTGGTATAACCCATCCATCCTCCAGGTAGTTTTTTTGGAGGCAGAATATTTGAAACATTATTCCCTCTAATCTGTCCCTTTTTTATAGCCAAATATGTCCATTTAAAAACCAGATCTACGGCTGGAGTTGTGGCTCAGCGGTAGAGCGCTCGTCTCGTACGAGCAGGACCCTGGGTTCGATTCTCAGCACCACATAAAAAATAAATGAGTGAAATAAAGTTATTATGTCCAACTACAACTATAAAATAAATATTTAAAAAAAAACCACAGATCTGACCATGTCACTCCTAGACTTCAAATCCTTCACTGGTTCCCCATCCTCTCAAGGCAAAGACCCAGTTCCTTTTCATGGTCTAAAAAGTCCCACCCTAAGCTGCCCCAGCCCTCTCCTCACAAGGCCTAGATGTGTCTATCTTCCTTTGTGCCCTGGGCCTAGCCTGCCAACTAATGCTCAATCCATTCAGCTTTGTTGGATGAATGAATCAACAAGGTGGCACTGAGCACCTACTACCCTGGATGTTCAACAGCACTCTCTCCTTGAACTCTCAAAATGCTCTGTGCAATAGGATTATTACCACCCCGCTCCCTTTGCCAAACAGACACGAACACTGCAAATGAGGAAACAGAGACTCAGAGGTGACTTGTCCAAGGTGACACACCCACATGTGAGTTCCAACCCAAGTTTCTTCCTGAGCCAAGGCATATCAGTTCAGCCTCAGGGAACCAAGTCCATTGCTATGGTTTATGTCCATGTCTTAATTCCAGAGCCAAGAGCCTAACTCCCATTTATGCACACATACCCTACTCCCTCCATCCCCCACCAAGAAGAGGTTCTGCCCACCTGTCCATGCACAGCCTGAGGGACAAACAGTACAGAGATGCATATCTGTCACCCTGGCAACCCTGGCACCTCTTTGGCTTAACTGGAATGAGGCTGGTCAGTGACTTTCCTTCCTCCAGATGATTTCCCCCTTCCTTCATTCCCATAAATACCCACTGAGCTCCTGTTCTGGGCCAAGCGTGGGGCTAGGCTCTGGGAACACAGAGAAGGCCCAGACCTGGGCCTGCCCTTGAGCTCATAGTCTGTAGGAGCAACAGGTGCAGGTGGAGACAATGATAGTCATCCTGATCAGGGCTATGATCATGGGGATCACTGGAACTGAAGAGGCCCAGAGGAGGTCTCCAACCCAGCCTGGGGCACTCAAGAAAGCTATTTGGGACAGATGGTGCAGAGTTGCAGATATGACGGAGAAAGAAGTGCAAGAAGGGACAATGTGCGAAAAGGGCTGGAGACACTACACCTGTACAGCAGTTAGGGGGCTAAGCAGTCTCAAAGGGCTGGAAGACAGAGGCTCCAAAAAGGCAGCTAAATAGAGAGGTGAGACGGGGCCTGACTGGGGAGCTCAGGAAAGAGGGACACTGGCCCCACTTAACTTAATAATAGCATTAACACCATCCATCACCAAGAGAATATCATTCAAGTTTTATCTAAATTGGAGACTGCATTATTTCACTCAATCCCCCGGCTAGCAGGCACTCTTATCTGTACTGACAGATAAGAGGAAGGGAAGGCCCAGAAGCGGAAACAAGGTCTGGCCCCTCCCATGAAGCTGGGAAAAGACAAATGCTTTCTGCATCTCAGTGCTCCCAGTCTTTCCCCTGGCCTGACTGTGACAGAGGCCCCTCCTTCTCATAGGCTGTGTCTTCAAGGCCACTCTCCTTTAGGGCACCTTCAGGTAAGCAGGTGATGGGTCTGTGATGAGGGGCCATCTCCTTGGGAACACTGAGACAGGGATGAGAAGGTGAGGAAGGTGGCCAAGGGAAGCACAGGGTTGGGTGAAGAATGGAGCAGGGCTGGTGACCAACTTCAGGAATTTGGTGGGGCTTTCCCATTCAGATCCCATCCACTTAAGGCCCACATGAGATAGGAACTGGACAGAGTGGAAGGGGGCATCAGGCAGCCTGGAGCCACCTCCCTGCTCTCCTCTTGCCTCCCACCTCCCATCTGTTGTCACCTGGTCTGCTACCCTGGTGCTTCATAGGCAGAGACAGAGTGGGGTAGCTAGAAGATCCTCAGCCCCAGCTAAAAAGCTCCCATCCCAACCTCAGTCAGGGTGAGGTGGATGTGGGGCAGGGAGGCGAAGTCACTCAAGAAGCATTCTGGAGCCAGAAGTGGCTTTTAATCCCTGCTCCATCATGGGAGAGGGGGACTTTGGCGCCACGAGTGAAGTAACATATCCACTTCCAAAGAGATATTTCTAAACTCCTTCCAGAGACCCCTTAAATGCACATAAAGCGAGTGCCCTGTGGCATAACAAGGTGGCCTTTAAGCATTTTAAAAGCACATAACCCTTGGACTCAAGCTGCGTCTCAGCAATAACTTACTGCAAAAACCTGAGAAAGTTCTTTAACCTCTATGAGCCTCAGTTTTTTCGTCAATGGCCTGGGAAAGACAGGATCTACCTCCTTGTATTGTAGTAAAAAATGAGATTGTGTAAAGCACAATAGGAAGTACTCAGAAAAGATCAGCAATTATAACTTTTTCCTAACATTATATATTGCCATCATTTATTTTACTGAGCAGCACTGATTTTATAATAAAACTAAATAACTTTAAAAGATTGAGTACATACCTATGACTTGGCAATTCTACTATTAAGAGACATTCCAGAGAAACACATGCGCAAAGGACACCTGTACAAGAATATTCAGTATTTGAACAGCAACACATGGGGACCCACCTCAATGTCCAACAAGAAAGGTAAGTAAATAAATGTGAGTCTTTACACAGGGTGGTGTACCATATATCAGGGCAAGGACAACCAGAGTCACATGATCAAGAAGGCTAAACCTCAGAAACCTGACGTTGAATGAGGAAAAAGCTGCAGGACAACACATGCTATGACTCCACTTTAAAGAACATCTACCTACCATTTAGCATTTCATATATTCAGCAAAAGAATGAAAACGGGGAAATGAAAAAACCAAAATTCAGGATGGCAATTATCTCTGGAGAGGGAAGGAGGGAAGGAGTGTCCACAGAGGTTTCCATGGTTTATTTCTTTTTTTTTTTATTTTTATTTTTTAAATTTTTTATTGTTGGTTGTTCAAAACATTACAAATTTCTTGACATATCCATGGTTTATTTCTTAAAAAAAAAAAAAAAAAAAAGAACATGAACTAAATGGGGCACAGTGATAATATCTGACAAAGTTGGGTGACAAAAAATGAGAGTTCAGTTTATTATTTGCTATCTTCTTCCAAAGGCTTAAAAATATTTTATAATTTTTAAAGTGGTAGAGATTTGAGGCTTACTTTGTTCACCACTGACCATCCTGCCTAGGGCTGGGCCCAAGAGAGGTCTTATTTGATGAGTGACTGAATTAGTGTCCACAGAGAAGGTGGAGATAGTTCTGATTTGGGCCTCAACTGATCAGATCTCATGAGGATGACTCTGACCAAGGCAGGGGTAGATAGACCTACATGACCTCAAAGAACAGTAGGCCATGGCAGGACTGCAGGGAGGCAGATGTGGTCAGTCTGAGGAAGGTCTGCCAGTGCTAGAAGAGCCAGCCTGCTGCCCTGGAATCCCACAGCAGGCCCAGAGGAGCCTGAGGTTGTGGAGGGGACTCAGGCATGGATGTGGTGGTATAAAGAAGAGGGATGAATGTGGATTTCAGTCCCAAAGTCTAGGATTCTTTCATGGAAGCCTTGCTCCATGCCTGCATACTCTCCAGGAAATCACTTTTCTAGACCCAGGGGGGGGGTGCTAAGTCAGAGCTGGGCAGAAGGGGACCTAAGCAATCTCCAGATTTACAAGGACTTCAGCCCTCAGCAGGAAGGGAGTAGGTGGCCCAGCCTCCCCATATTTTCCAAAGGTGGGTCGAAAAATTTAGGGAGGGTAAAGAACGTGGCCAAAGTCATATAACAAAAATGATAAAGGCAAAACTTACCAGGCATCCCTCACCAGCAACCCAGCTTCTGAACTCTTATACTCCAGCCCCACACAAAGGCCCTATGGGGGCATCCAGCTGCCCAGATGGCACCAGGTTCCTAACTTCCCTGTTCATTTGTTAGGCCTCAGGCCCTTGGCAAATATTGTCACCGGTAGTGAGGCTCCAAGCAGGGCAGGCATAGGTTCCAGCTCACCTGGGGTTCGATCTCTGCCCAGCAACCTGCCAGCAGCCAGAAATCCCCGCAGCTGCCCCTACCCACCGGGGCTTAGGAAAGGCAGAGCTGCGGAAGGTCTCTGGACAGCAAGCAGCTGTCACTGCTACAGGGGCAATGTGGAGGTCCCACAGGAGTCCTCAGTGGGTGGGGGTAGGGCTGGGCAAGACAGCCTTGTTGACAGTGCCAACGCCCACCTTTTACAACCCTGTTACGTCCCCTGGGCCGGGTTGGACACACAGCCCTTTAAGTCCACCCAATATCACTGAAGATGACGTGGGTGGGAGCTCTGACATCAGACAGAACTCGTCCCAACTCTTACCTCAGGGAGGAGCGAAGACAAGTCAGATAAAGAGCTATGCCTCAGTTTCCTCTCTTTGGGGGGGGGGGGGGGATGGTCACAGGCCCACCCAGACACCAACGCCACGCGGCTGGTGAGCAGGCTCCTGCAAACACGGCTCTGACTACACCTCCGTGAGAAAGTTGGGACCCAGAGGGGGAGTGGCCGACCCAGGGTCCCCTGGGGCAGTTTCCGCAGCCCCCTCGCGGCTCCCGGCGCGGGCCGCCCCAGAGGCAGCGGGGCGGGGGACTGCGCGCCCGTCAGGGGCGACAGCCGCAGTGCGGGCCGCGGGCGCGGCGGGGAGGCTCGGCGCGGGCCCCCGCACGTCCCCGCCCCGGCCCGCGCCCCCGGGGCCGCCCGCCGCGCACTTACCCCGCGGGCAGGGCGCCCGGGGCGCCGGCCGTGGTCATCGCCGAGGGGGGCGAGCGGCGCTGCCCCCGCCGGACGCCAGCAGCGGCCCAGGTTCTGCCGCCGGATCCCGGAGCCCCGCGCTGTGCAGCCGAGCCACGGAGGCGGCGGCCGGGGAGGGGCGCGCCGGGGGCGGGGAAGGCTGCGGGGCCGGGCCGGGCCGGGCCGGGCCTCGGTCTGCCCACCCGCGCAGTGGGGCCACGGCCACCCCCAGCCGCGCGGAGCTGGGGCAGGGCTGGGGCGGGGCCTGCCTTCGCCCGTCCCCCCCCCCACCCCGGACAGGTGCGACCCGGGCCACAGATTCTGTGCGCAGACCCCGCCCAGCCCAGCGCTCGCTCCTTCCGCAGACGCCCCCACCTGAGTTAGAAAGTTCTCCTAGACCTGAGGTCCTCCTTCCTGTCACTCGCCCTCCCCCACAGCTCCCGCCCCGCAGCGGCTCCCACCGGAGCCTCTCGTGTCCTACAACATTAATGGGGGCATTCATGCGGAGAAAGACACAGCCTCCAGAGTCAGGCTTGAATTTTAATCCCAAACACATGCCCATCGAGTATGTTTGTAGGAGACCAGAAGGCGGGAAATAACGCGATTTTAGCACTCACTGCTAGTGGGCAGCTCACACTAGTCTTCTCAATCTCCATAATTGCCATTTTACAGATGTGGAAACTGAGGCATAGGGTTCTTGTGATTGGCTCCGGAGCACGCATCTAATATGTGACAAGCTGCGATTGGAACCCAGCCCTTCTGACTCTGGAGCTCATGTGCCAGTCCCCACTGGTTCTCTCTTTTATTCTCAATGCTTGTGTGTGGGGTCACTCTCCAGGTGTCCACTGTGCATCTAGGCCTCAGGTGGGTATGTAAGCCCAGGGTTGAACTGACCTGATCTCCTGGCAGAGAAAGTTCTAGCCCATCAGGAGTTAACCAGCCACCACCTCTGGGTCCCAGATGCTCTTAATCATGACTCATCACAGCACGTGGCTGCCATTAGAGCTGTCCCTTCACATAGGCTGGGGACAGGAGAAGGAGGGACTCCACTTCCCCTAGATCAGGTTAAGTTCCTAGATGTCAGAGGAGGAAACAGGAGGGGGCAGTCTGCAAAAGCAACCAGGGTGGGAAGAAGACTTGGACTAGATCCCAGAGGAGCCAGGCAGGCTGTTTGTAGTGGGGAGAGGTTTGTGGGATTATTGCTTACATTAAACAAGCTTCCTGGGAAGGCAGTGAGTTCCCCTCCAGCTCATGTGTAAGCAGAGGGCAGATGCTTACTTCCAAGAATCATCCCACCTCTGCAGTCTCATATATAGGCATAAAAAAGATAATTAACTACAAGGAGCAGTCTATAATGACATCCACACGAAACTGTAAGGAATCCAGATGAGGAGAGTCAGGGGGCCTTCTGGAGAAGGTGGGGTCAGAGCTGAGCTTTGAAGTTATATTATTAATGAAGTTGTGGAGCAAGTGTACCAGGTAAGGGAACAACATGCATGAAAACATATAGGTGGCAAGGGCACATTGGTGACAGCTGGAGTTTGGAGGCTGTGACAAGACCAGCAATTTGTTGTAAAGACAAGTCCCAGGTGATGAGGCTGGGAGGCTGTTACATGCCATGCACTTTCAAATCTCCACGTATTTGCCCATGCTGTTTCCTTTCCCTAGAAGATATGTCCCTTCCTTGTCACTTATTATCCATTCATGTGACCAGGGATGGATCCAGAAGCTTACTATTGGGAGGCCTCTTTTCAAAAAAAAAAAAAAAATCATACAAATTTACTAATAGAAAATTGCTAGGATCCTCCTTGGAGCCTCAGAAGATGCCAGGCAGGTGAGGAAGAGATCCTGAAGTTTTAAGCTACATTAGCTCCAAGGTAGATCTTCACGGTATTTGACCAACATGTATTAAGAACATGCTAATGCCCAAACTCCTCCTTACCCTACAGGTTTCTACTCAGATACTGCCTCTTCCAGAAAGCCCTCCCTCTCAGGCTGGGCTGGGAATCCTGGGCATCCACTGCCTTAACCTGCTCTGACCAATCCTAATTCTCCCCACCACGGGACACTCTTGAGGGCAGGGCCTGGTCAGATTCATCTGTGTGTTTCAGCGCCTGACAGCTGGTGTTGCCTGACTAATCACCAGACATGAACACTAGGTCCAGAACTTTATAGTTTCCCTAAGGAAGTAATTACCTCTAAGGTAATTATTGCAACAATGGCTGATGCACATCAAAAGCTTCTTAAGTGCCACACATGGTATTAAATATGTAACATGAGTTATCTCATTTAATTTTCATTTCTAACTAGATAGAGCCTCAGTTTCCTCATCAGTAAAATAGAAATAATAATACTGCCTACATCAAAGGGCTTTTGTAAGAATTAAGAATTTATGTATGCACAATACCCAGAATAGAATCTGGCATGTAACATAGTGCTGCATAAGTACCCAGTAACGGTGGTAGTGTGCTAGATGTTGTGCTCCCCATTTTACAGATGCAAACCGAGCTCTGCAAGGTAAGCAGCATGGCTGTCATTACAGCTGGAACACTCCTCACACCACCATGGTGGCAACGATACTGAAGCCAACCCAGTATCGTGATGCCCACTCACCTGGTGAGTCAGAGCATGGACTGGCCCACCCTCAGGAAGGCCCCACCTGGCCCATTCCCCACCCCTAGGAGCTGCCCAGTCCCAGCCCAGGGGAGCCTGTGAGTCATCATCCTTGTTTCTGCCTCCCAACACGGTAACTCTACTCTGATCATCCATCCACCCACCCGTGACCTTGAGCTGACAGCATCCTGAGTCGTGGATCCCTTCCTCCCCTGTCAGGACGCCTGTTTCCTGCTTTCTGCCTTCCCTCCTTCCATCACTCTCAGGAGTGCTGGAATGATAAGTGAGCATTATCTGGGTGATTCTTGTCCCCATCCTCATTTCAGTCCCTTCCCCAAGGCCCTTCCTGGCACAAAGTGCCCCTCCCAACCCCTGTGGTCTGTGCCAGCCCAGATCCACCACTGACTCCAGAGCCTTCCCAATGGGGCTGTGTTGGTGATTGTAAAACTGGTTTTCTTGGAGAGAATAAGCCCTACCCAGCAGGATACAGAACTGGGCTTGTTAATAATTCACAAGTGAATAGACCCAATATGGACCTTTGAAGAGACTGTGAGAATCACAGCTCTTAAATATTCCCTGTAGTGACGATGCCTTTGGGGGTACCTAGGCCTGATCCTTGGATGGACCTCTTCCCTCAAGTGGACTGTGCCCACACTAGTCCTGTGATCTTGGGCACATATTACTGTTCTACTCTGGCCCTTAGTTTCTCTCTTTCCTCCAAATACAGAGAGGAGGAGAGGCTGGATAGGGAGCTCAAGGGCCCTCCCTTCTCTGACGTTCTCAGTTCGAGGATTGGGGTCTTATACTGCCTGGTCTTCAGCAGCTGCCAAGGGTGGGCATATAGAAGGAGCTTGGGCAGGCACAGGGAACCAAAGTTCTGATACATCAAGGGTGACAGCTCTAACGAAGGATTTCTGCCATTAAGTGGCATGGTGTTGGGGTTCAGAAATTGGGCTGCAGAGCTAGGAAGATTTGGATGGACTCCTGGTCCCATGATGTCCCAACTAGGTAATCTTAGGCAAGTCATCTGATTAGCTTGAGGCAGGGTAGGGAGTGGCTCAGGGAACAGCTCAAATACCAGGGTTGTACCCAGCTCTGACACCTGGGTCAGTGACTCCATCTCTGGGATGAGAATGATGGTGGGTTGTTGCAAGAATTAAATGAGGTAATATACAAAAAAAAATTTTTTTTTTGGTACTGGGGATTGAACCTAGGGACACTTAACCACTGAGCCACATACCTGGCCCTTTAAAAAAATATTTTATTTAGAAACAGGGTCTCACTAAGTTGCTGAGGGCCTCAATAAGTTGCTGAGGCTGGCTTTAAACTTGGGATCCTCCTGCCTCAGCCTCCAGAGCCACTAGGATTACAGGCATAGACCCACCATGCCTGGCCACAAAAAAAACTCTTAGAACAGAGCATTGTCATTATCTTTCAGCTTTACATTCCTCACCCAAAAAGCAGGGATAACAGGACTGTTGTGAGCATTAAATAAACAAATGAACCTGAAAGAGACTTCAAACCACACAAGGCTGTCCAGAAAAAAAATTAAAAGGATTTCTCCTAAGATGTACACCAAGAGCTCTGCCCAGGACCTGGAGGCCTCTTTGGTCAAAATTGTGTGGAAAATAGATGATGCCTGTCAAGTGCTCCTGGTGAGGCATGGGCGAAGGCCTATGTTATGATGGATCCCAAAGGCAGGAGAGGGGAGAGTTCTGGAGGCAGAGAGCTGGTCCAGAAGGTGTCTTGGGAGAGAAGCTGGGACTTGGAGGAAGCAGTGGCAGGTGAAGGAGGAGAGAAGTACTGTTGAGTGGAGCCATTAACTTTTGACTAGCCTGATCTGTGCTCAGGGACGGTCCTTGGGTATGCCCTTTTGGCACCCAGATGTAAAGCAAATGCCCACCCACTCATTTGCTCAGAAAGAAAGCAAAGTTACCTTCAACCTGAGGCTTAGCTGTTGTACCTGTTGGAGGGTGTTTCTTTGCTGGAAATGAAGCAAGGGGCTATGCTACTACTTTTTGCAAGCTGTGGGTATTAGAGCCGACTGCAAGGGACTAAGGGGAATACCTTTTTGCAGGAGGCAAAAAGCAAGGAAGAAATTTACTCTCATGGGAAGAAAAGGGATCCAAAAGAATGGAGTTGCTTGGCTGAGTTCCACCTGGATGGGGCACCTTATGTCCCATCTAGTCCTGCCAGGAGTAGTGCAGCAAAAAACAGCTATTTGTACGGTGAGGGAAAGAATTTTACTTGAAAGTGGTAGATTTTTGCACTGCTGCTCACTTGGGAAAGGCTGATCTTGAGCTGGGAAAGGAAGGCTTTAGAGTTGGGGTAAGAGAGAAAATGTGGAACTGGGTTTGGTGGCTCATGCCTATCATCTAAGACACTTGGGAGGCTGAGGTGAGAGGATCACTTGAATGCAGGAGTTCGAGACAAGCCTGGGCAACAGAGAGATACCTTCTGAGAGAGAGAGAGAATGCATATGCTTCCT